TGGTCCTGTTTGTGCTTTGCCTGGGCATCTACTGCATGAATCTGCTGGGGAACTCCCTCCTCATGGTGCTGATCATGCTGGACCCCCACCTGCACAACCCCATGTACTTCTTTCTCAGCAACCTCTCCCTCATAGACATCTGTGGCACTTCCTCCTTCACACCTCTCATGCTCACCAACTTCCTACAAACCAGAAGTACCATCTCCTTCCCAGCCTGTGTGCTGCAGATGTTCTTGACCCTTGCTTTGGGTGCTACAGAGTGCCTTCTCCTGGCTGCAATGGCCTATGACCGTTATGTGGCTATCTGCCACCCACTCAGGTACACAGAGCTCATGACTGGACAGATGTGCTGGCAGATGGCAGTGCTGAGCTGGGGGACAGGCTTTGTCAACTCATTGCTACAGTCCATCCTGATCTGGCGCCTCCCCTTCTGTGGCCACAATGTCATCAACCACTTCTTCTGTGAGATCTTAGCAGTGCTGAAACTTGCCTGTGGGGGCATCTCCCTTAATGCCCTGGTATTGATGGTGGCTACAACCATCCTGACAGTGACCCCTCTCTTGCTCATCTGTCTCTCCTACATTTTCATCCTGGCTGCCATCTTTCGGGTTCCCTCTGCTTCAGGCCGGCGCAAAGCCTTCTCTACCTGCTCTGCACACCTTACAGTGGTGGTGATATTTTATGGGACCATCTACTTTATGTACCTCAAGCCTAAGGCAAAGAATCCCAATGTGGATAAGATTACCACACTGTCTTATGCAGTCATGACACCTTCACTGAACCCCATCATCTACAGCCTAAGAAATGCAGAGGTGAAAGCAGCTGTCACTTCTCTGCTTGGGGGAGTTCTGCGCACCAGGAAATTAGCCAACTTTTACCGTTGCCCTCTGTCAGGATAAACTAACCTATCTTGTGATAATGGCCTCATATTTCAGTGGCTTAAAATCAATCAATTTCTCATTTATGCCCAAGGTCCATAAGGACTTAGTTGGGGTTCTGCTCTGAATCCTTATCTTCTCCTTTCTGGTACCCATAATGACAAAGCAGTTACCATCTGTAACATGGCTAGGCATCACAACAAAAGGAGAAGAGAAGGTAACAAAGCCTGAACTACTTCCTCTCACATTCCTTTGATCAACACCAGGCTCATGGCCACATCTAACATCAAGGACAGGAGATTCACATGGAGAATATGTGTGATAGGATAAGAGGACTGAGAGGTTTGTGAGTACCCAATGACCATATGCTATGCTGCAGATCCTATCCAAGTGCTCGTAGAGATTTGGTTTCCTTTTCCTTCATGGTGTTTCCTTCACAGGATGCTGCCTGATCAATCATCTCAAGAAAGCCCAGCTTAGCTCACTCATAGCTCTCCACTGGGTCATCCAAACTAGATTGGAAATGTGCTTCTTGGGATTTCCTTCCCTTATGGGTTTTCTGTGTTTGCCCATAAGAGATATGCACATAGGGTGGAAGGCAAAGGTGAACAGCACCAGGCCTTGGGGGACATTGTGTTACCAGTGCACTGGCTCTCCTAGTTCTGGCCATGTTTCCTCCTTCAGCTGTCCTCAGTCTGGGCCAGGTTCAGCTCCATGGCAAAAGGTGCCAGCTACTCCCTCAAGTCACCTATGTCAATGAACTTGAAGGCACTGAGAGCCAGACACTGGTCATCCTGGGTTCTCCATTGCCCTTCCTCTCCCTCTTTCACACTCAATTTTCCTTTTGACTGCCAGCCAGGAAGCCTGGAGCAGCTTTATGCCCAACACCTAATGCAGAGGTACCAGTTGTCATTGGTTTCTCCAGCTGCTCCCATGACTGTGTCCATCTAGTCTCTGAATGAAATTTCTTACATCTCTCATAGTGGTTTTGCCATTTAATGTGAAATCACTCTTGTGATCAACAATTTTTCGTGGTTCCCCATCACCACAGCATTAAGTTCAAATTCTTTTGCTTAGTCTTCAAGTTCCCCAGAATCTGGCTACATCTGCTTCTTTGGCCTGATTTCCTCTCCCCCTCCACACAGGCTGGCCCCTTACTACATCCTCTGTGCTTTCTCCACCTCCAGGTCTTTGCTCCTGCTGTTCTCAGTCACACTGGGATGAGATTTCAAAGCCAGCTCAGACACCATCTCTTTCATGCATTCTTCTCTGATGCACTTTGAGACTGTTCTCTTTACATCCTATGGCACCTTTCCCTTGGTACTTCATCCTTTCTTTTGTACAATTTCACCACCATTTTAGTTTCCTCAGGACTGGAAGTCAGCATATCTTACCAATTTCTATAGCCCTCAGGGCTTTCCCAGGAGCAGTTTTTCTGAACTAAATGTTCACCCAGCAGCTCACCATTGGGGCTTGAGCTCTGTGGTGCTGAATATGCTACAGGCAGTTGCCAGTGGTCAGGAATTAAGAGTGTGGCTGTGTAAAGATATGTGAAATGAGCACTAACACAGCTGACCACAGCCCCATCCTTATAGAAGGCAGGGCTGGTCTGGTTCTTGGCCTGTCACCAATAAGACAAGCTAGGGGAGAGACAAGGGCTCTAGGCCTGGTTTGAGTGCTATACCCAGCCTGGTTTGAGTGCTAATCCCCTCCCCCCAAGAACCTATAGGCACCTCAAACTCAAAATGTCCAAAATTGAATCATTTTCAACCTCAAGTGGTGGGACCATCTCAGTGGCACCACCACCCCAAGTAAGAAACATAGTGGTTATCCTAGACTTTCTCTCACACCTCATCACCTACATGTTAATCAGTTATTAAGTCCTGCACCATCTATCTCCTAAGAGCTCTTAAAGTGGTCCCCTCCTTTCTACTGATGCCATATAAAGAAGTTTTTATTATTTCTCTCTCAAATAGTGCAACAGGTGTATAACTGCACTCTCATCTTCCAAACTCTCCCTAAAACCTGTCCCCTGCACCAGCCAGTTCCTCATTTCCTATTGAGCAAAGACCAGAACCCACCTACCTGTCCAACTACATCACTGGCTGCATTCCAACAGCACCCCACTACACGCACGCACATATGCACATAGGCATACACAAACAAACATGGCCCATACACACTGCACTCTTCAGTTTTCTGATTAAATATCTTTCCTTCCTGCTTGTGTCTCACCCTCAGTCTCCCCCCACATCCCAATACTCCACGGCCTTTGACTAGCATATATTGGATACACGTCACACACTAGCCTAGGGAATATGCTTTGTTCTAAGTTTTTTTACTGAAAGGGAACCAGATGGAATGATAGGAATCTCGTGGAAGGGATATAACATGGACTTGGCGACCTCAGAGAACACTCTCCCAACATCTTGGCATTATAGAAATTCATTTAATCCTCATTCAAGCCCCTCATTTCCAGAAGCCCCTTCCAACCCATCCTAGCAGAGTGAGGTGTGTCCTACCTCGGTTGCCTACTCCAGTGTCTTCTGGATTCCACTAACTCTATCCTGAATCCCAGCTAATTGGGTTCAAGCATCCTAGTAACATGGCTCTATCCAAATGAGTGTTGAAATAAAATAAAATTTCTGATGTAAAAACAGACACCAAGGTCATATATCTTCATTCTCACAATTCATTTGGCCACATCATTCTCTACTAAGTAACTCCAAGGAAGAGATGCAATTGTAGGAGGAGAGGATAAAGGGAGATTTTCCTGGCATTTGAGGATCAAAAGCTTAGTCCCTAAAGGGAACAGAAAAAAACTTAAGGCACAGATAAAAGATTTGGGAGAAAACATGACAAGTAACAATAAGGCTTCCCCCATGCTCTCCTTAAGATTAACAAATGGAGGAAGAGAAAGGAAGAGGAAATGAAGTGATATCACTGCCACAAAAAGATCCCAAAGGGAGGGGCCCTGAGCCAAGCCCCTGGGTGGGTCTGCAGGATTTAAAAGAGCAATTTATGCCTTGTTTGTCAAGTAAAACTCAGAAAACCACAGTAGAAATGGCTTCATGGTGTCCACATAGCAAAGGCCTTAGACAATCTTGTAGGTCTTTGCTTGTGGCACAGACCTTCAAACCAGAAGGGTTATATAGATAGGAACAAGATCTCTCTCTCATCCAGATGACTTATCTGGAATGCTAACTGGGAACCAAATGAGATGATGGAAGTCTCAGTGGATGGATGAGGCCATTCTCTCTGGAGGCCAGAGAGAATGCTCCTTTCAACATCAATATCTTGGCATTTTGTAAAACCCTCAGAACTCAGCTATGACCCTGATGGAAATTATTAAATCCCAATTAACAAAAAATTGTTTCTGGTACTCAGAAAAAAAATGGAGGCTCAAAATAGAAGTGACATTCTTGTGATATTTCTTGCACAGCTGAACTTTGTACCTGTCACTTAATTTCCTGGCACCTCAGCTTCCTTCCTATGAGTGTGGGCTTATCATGAAGGAGGTCTGTCTCATTGATTCAAGCATCTCAGCATACACAAACACATGCATGCTTATATGTAACCACACACACACACACACACACACACACACACACACACACACACACCTCTCAGTTACTATAGTCTAGGTCCCACAGGAATTGAAAAGTAGGCACCAGGAACTGTTTAGAAATGAACACAGGGACCAGATGAGAGGGATGCAGGAGTGTACATGATAGGGCAGAAGCCTCAGACAGTAGGCTCCCAGCAGCTCCTGTAGGCTGGGGTCCTATCACCCCTTCTATTACCTCAGGGACCTTCTCCTCCTCTTCTCCCCACTCCCTGAGCCCAGGGGGAAAAGGCAGCACAGAACCAGCACATACTTCATTGGAGACACTCCAGATCCCACCTGCATCAATTCAGGACGCCAGCCAACCAGCCCCAGTTCCAGTTATGTCTGTCCTACAATCCTCCCTTTCCAGCACAGCACAGGCCCACATGCTGCTTCTGGGAAGGAAGCCTGAGGCCAGAGTTGCTGAGACTCTGGAAAAATCTTAAGATTCAGTTTCCCCAAGATGGACTCCATTTCCTCTGGAACAATGCCACATTCCTAACAGAGCAGTGTCTCCCTAGGAAGTAATTTTATATGTCTATATAGGAGGGCTCCATATCCTAGGGGCTGCCCCTAGGAGGGACTCCTTGGTCCTGAGGGGGCTCTTTGCCCTGCATAGCTCCAGTCCTTAAGAAGGACTTCATGGTTGCAGAAGAACTCCAAGCCCTCAGGAAGTTCCCCTTGTCCTTGGAAGGGCTCCAGGTCCCTGGAAGAGTTTGATGTCCTTGAGAAATGCTCCATGTCCTCAAGAAATACAACCATCTCTTGGTACCAGGAGGGCTCCACATTCCCAGGAAAATCCTTAGGAAGGGTTCATAACCCCAGGGGCCTGGCCCAAAGCCCCACTCAGCTGGCACAGATGCTGCTGACAGTGGTCCCTCCTGAGCCCACAAGGCCCAGCTCCTCCTGCTCATTGATGCACAGTTGGTATCCACAGCCCCTGGCTCGGGCTCCAGACGGGACCCGGTGGTCAGTCTTGGCACGAGGAGGCAGTAAGAAACCCACGCTGCCAGCGATAAGCATATGCCAAATGCTATGAATGTAGAAGTAGTTGTCCCGGGTCTCCACAAAAGCGTACAGGAGGACAGCACTGCCTGCAATAAGGCTGCCTGGGCACAAGTAGAAAAGCCAGCGGCGCCACGTGGGTGGGTAGCAGTGCCGGCGGCGGACGCTGCGTACTGTCTAGGGGAGGCAGAGAAATGGGGGCTCAGAAATGTAAAGCCCTGGGACCCAAGCCAAAGCCAGTCATGCTCAGGCTTCCCATGAGCCCTAGCTGTGACCTAAAGGCACCTGCCAAGACTACAGTGTACACTATGAACAGCAGGTAGTAACAAGAATCCATGCCCACCTTAAACTGAGAGCAGATGGCCAGGACCCTACATCCAAGTCTTCCTCCCTTGCCTCCCAACACACACAGCCCTCCTAGCCCTTACCCAGGCTGTGGCCAAGATTCCCAGAGCGAAGAGACTGGGTCCAAGCAGGTTCCAGAGTCCATGTCGGTCAAGCTGCAGAGCCATGGACAGCAGCATAGCCCCCAGTAAATACAGCACCTAAGGAAAGAGGACTCCAGGGCTGGGCTAATGCCAAGTGACAGAACTCTAGGGACTGGGCCTGAATGGACAGAGGTACTTGGAAAATCCCCCAGGGAGAAGGCAGGAGTGGGTTTCAAGTAGATTTTGGCTATGGTTGTCCCCCAGGGCCCAATCCAGACTGACCTGCTTTACCACGGGCTGTAACCGAGCCATGGCAATGACAGTGACCCACACAGACATTAGGGAGCCCAGGAAATCACAGAACTGTAGCACATCGTAGTCCATGATGCAGAAAACCACAATGCCTGGCTGGTCACAGGCATGATAGAACTGGAGGAAGAAATGACAGGTGTTAAAGGAACTTGGGGCCAAGATCTAGGTCTAGATCTTGAAAGAGGCCACACAGGGGTGGTATACTGCAATAAGTCAGAGAAGCAGAGGTGAGAGGCCACAGGTGAGAAGAACCAGGAAATGCCCAACTCCCCACTCCTGAGAAGAATGTGGTAAGGAGGCCAGGTCTGCCTCATAAGCCATAATCATCTGGAAGTTTTGACCTTGGTCCTCGCCTTCTAAATCTTTTTACTTCTGGAATATGCTGTGAAGCGTGCCAGGCCAGGAATAGGGGAGCACACATCTCTCAAGATGAGGTCAATCCCTTCCCTCTCTCTTCATGCTCATCATAGGTTCCATCAATAATCGCCATCCCTGGCCCATGCTTTGGGTCTAGCTCTGGCCTCTTTGAAAGCCTAGACCCGCCAATTCCCTTAAATGTTCCAGTTTCTCCTGATAGATTGATCGGATTATGCAATGAGCTTCACTTTCAGGATTTGCACACACTGGCTTTCTTCATCCCTTCCCATCCAGTGCCAAGGGGAGCACACAGTAGGCAAAAAGGCAGTCATCAAGGCCATGGAGAACAACATGCTGCTTCACACCACAAGGAACAATATGGGGAAGGTACAGTATCCACTTCTCATACACTGAGGAGAATTAATGTTTGACTATGCCTGAGATTTGTTTATTTTTCAGATTTTTCTCTTACACATGCTGATTAATTGTTGATTGATTTTGTTCTTAAACAAATCAACATTTTTATCTTTTTCTATTTTAGCTATAAAACACTGATTATTCTCCACTTCTAAGACCAGATTGTAAGCACTACAGCCACCAAATTACCCAAACTATTTCACATTTTAGTGTTTTTTTTCAAACATCTTTTTATATTTCAGGCTTAACTAAACATTTGCTTCATATACATGACTTTCAAGTATATAGAAAGGAATGTCCCAGAGTGTCTGGAAGAAGAACTTGTAATGAATCATTTGATCAAAAATAAAGGAAGATACAGATCAGCAGTGTTGAATTAACTAAATAGTGACTTTCTCTAGGAATTTCTGTGCACTGAAAAAAAAGACTCAGGGGAATGCATATATTGTCTCTGGAGTAGAGATGTTTTAGAGAAATCATCTCACTGATATTCTGTGAATAGAAGTCTCCAAATACAATAAAAAGTCGTAGTGATTGTTTCAGGTTGTGGAAAATCCACAGGAGTAGAGTTAAATTAAATTGCCATGTGAGGGAATTGTTTCATTGAAATGTGTGGGTTTATTTTTAGATTGGTATTTTTTTGTCAACAGCAATAAAAAGTGGTAGAAATGACACAGAAAAACAGGAATTTAAAATTTTCCATTACAAACTGGATTCTATTACAATAATTCTAATCCAAATTAATGACTTTCTCAGATTTGGTTACTATATATGAGGACATTTGTATATTTTATTTCTTAATTGGTACAGTTATACATAATAGTGGGATTCACTGTGACATATTTATACATGTACATAACATAATTTGGTCAATCTAATTCCTCTTTCACTCCTCTCCCCCTTTTATGTTGGTCTCCCATCTATTTTCAAGAGTTTCATGCCCCCATCCCACCTTCTTTCCTTTGTTCTCTCTAGTGTCCAAATCAACCCTTGATCTTATAAGTCAAACTTATTTTATTTAACATAATGTTCTATCTTAAGTAAATTTGGGAAAATTATCCTAAATTCTTTTTTCTATACAATTTAACATTTTTATAATATAGTTCATCTAATGCTCCAAAACAGAGTACCCAGGTATCATACATACCATGCATACATTGGGATACTTACACTCAGCATATACTGTAACTTAACTGTCACTCTCATTTTTTTGTTTCCTAAATTCTTTTTCTCTTGGAAACACTTTTGGGATTTTGCTAAGAGCCAATGAGAATTACATGTGGCAGGTCAAGGAACTGAAGAGGTAATGAGAGGGTAGGCTTGCTGCTAGGATGTCAGCAATCAGCAAGGAAGGCTGCACAGCCCATGATGTGGGCTCTAACTGGGTCTTTTGGGATCTGATTATAAGTAGCACTGTGAAGGATCTGTGGCTTGCACCGAAGGGGTGAGCATTGCACAACTGCAGTGTTCTTCCTGGTTTGGTTTGGTATATCATTTAAGAACTGGAGAAGGGATGTGGTGCAGTGATACAGTACTCGCCTAGCATGTATGAAGTCCTGGGTTCAATCCCCAGCACTGAAAAAAAATTTTTTTTTAATTATCACACTGGGGCTGTAGATTAGTGGCAGAGTACTTGCTTAGCATGCCTGAGGCATTGGGTTCTATCCTCAGCACCATATAAAAATAAATAAATAAATAAAATAAAGGCATTCTATCCATCTACAATTACAAATTTTAAAAAATTATCACAAGAATGTGGGGAGAACTACTAATCTAAGGTCATGAGTTTATATATGCCAGGATATCAGAAGAACAGAAGTCAGATTAGAAATTTATGAATAACTTCACTGTCCAGGATATCAGAAGAGCAATATATCTCAGTAATTATTCGTAAGGGACCTGGAGTCAGGCTGAATGAGAATCTAGGCTCTACCATTCACCTTCTCTCAGACAAAGTATAAAACTTTCCTTCATCTACAAAAAGTTAAAATTAAAAAAGAATAAAAAGACTTACCTATTATATAGTTCTACTGTAAGGATTAAATTAGCAGAGTGTGACACAACACATATTCAGTACATATATGTCTTATTGCTGTTATTATCTGAACTGTTTGGCTACATACAAAATCAACAGCAAGCTGTGGCCTGTTTTTCCCCCCATATTTCATATCTGTAAACGTTTGAATTATAAACCTGCTCTCTGCTTCTGTGCCCTGGTTAGGAACCCATGTAACAATCCCAGGAGTATAGTATCCTAGATTTTAAGACAAGGAACCTGATTGTCATCTACTGCCCTGGTACTGTCAACTGCAACATGACCAATGCCTTCTCAAATAAACACAGCTGCAGAATGAAACAAGTCTAGACTCCTGAAAGAATGGGAAAGGAGAGACTATAGGGAACCTTCCCTGAAAACTGGATGACCAGGACCTCTCATTTTGGCCCATGTAATAAAAGAACAGGAGTCAGAGAAAGACTCCAGCCAACACCTAAAGCCAGAAGTTCTTCCTTACTCTCTTGCTTCTTGCCTGGTTTGAGAAAGTGGGAGCTCTCTCTCTCAGCACTCCTACTAGGGAAAAGAAGGTCTTTTGTTCTCAAGTCAACATGTCATTGAATCCAGAAAAGGAAAGGTCAGCCAGCCTATAACACTCTGGAGCCAATGCCCAGGATGCTTGTGCCAAGTCCAGGGGACTGAATATGCTCTCCCCACACACTCCACGCTCCTGACACACTGAAGCACTCATACCAGTTGTGAATCACATTCCACCTGCATGAAGCCAAGAGTGGGCTGGTGGAACAGCTGTTGCTACAGGATTTGGTGAGCAACAGTATGGAGGGCATCTGGCAATGAGAAAGGGAGACAGTGTCTAATATAAAAATAGAGTGAGCCACTATCAGAGCAGGCCTGAAAAGGGAGCCAACCAAGAAAAACTGGGCTATGTTCTTTTCATGCAGTTTAAAGGGTCAAGGTCTGTCTGTGCAGCATGGTTGTAGCCCACACTTCCTCAACCAGGGACCAGCATTGAGGGTCAGGTGGTAGGACCCTCAGTTTCAGCATATTGGACCTTTACTTTCTCCCATATGACAAGTAGGTTTTTGTAATGTGGTCATATGTCTGATCTAGTAATGCTGGAAACAAAGGAGGCACCAATGATTTCTGTGGTATCCTTGTTGCCAAGACATGAGGACAGTCTGAATCCCTCCAAGATTCCTGAGGTATTCATACTCAGGACCAAGTATCTGAGATCCAGGTACTCTATGTCACAAGATGCCAAGAACAGATGAGATGACAAGATCCCTAGATGTAGAATCTTGGTGGGGCAGAAAGTTTCCTTGGGGGAAAATCACATTAGTAGATTCACTTCTCTACATTCCCTAATAGTACCTGAAATTTTTGTTTGTGATACGAACTTTTATGGTTAAGAGAAGTAGAAAAATTCAGGGGAGGAATCATGGAGATTTCATTATTGAGAATGGAGGGACTCCAAACTACAAATCTTTCTAGGTATGGTGGCATACATCTATAGCCCTTTACTACTCAAAAGGCTGAGGTGGGAGGATCACTTGAGCTCAGGAGTTCCAGACAAGCCTGGGTAACATTGTGAGACCCCATCTCAAAACAACAACAACAAAATTCTACAAATCTATATCAAAATGCACTCCTTTGAGCTGGGATTTTAGATCACATTGCCATATCCCACGATATCTCAGGACCAAGTATCTGAGACCCAGGCTTTCCTACCCATTGTCCAATAGAGAGATCTCCTCTGCCTTCCAAAAGTTCCTATGAGAAGTCAAGAAGCCCATGGTGACTGAATGGGAGACACATCTTCATGCCCTACAGATGAACATGCTAAAGATAATAGAAATTCCCCCAGGATGATTGAGAACATGAGCACAAAGGAGCTAAAGCTCATAACAAGAAAGAACATGAGGGGCTGGGGTTGTGGCTCAGTGGTAGAGCACTTGCCTCACACCATACAACCCTGAGTACAATCCTCAGCATCACATAAAAATAAATAAATAAAAAATAAAGATATTGTTTCCATCTACAACTAAAAAATTTTTTTAAAAAAGAAAGAAAGAACATGATGGTGAAGACTCAATGCAGAGATATGGGTAAAAGCATATATTTCCTGTCCCCACCCAGAGGAGATCAGAGTGAAGATATAGACATACTTCTGTATTGTCTCCTGGCCAGTGTGCTAAATAGAGTTGTCCTTGGCCCTCCAGAAGGACAGAGTATGGGGCAGCTAGAGTCTCACCCTGTTGTATTCAGTTGCAAACAAACAGCTTTGTTCATTTTTACCCCAAGATCTTTACCAAAACTATCACTTTCAATGCATGCCATGGGAAGTTGGAATACTACTGTAAAAGCCATCCTAAAGGTATGCATCCCCCAGCCTGTAGAGAACATGATAGAAATGCAGACCCTCATGTATCCCTATGGACAAGAACATGGTAAAGAGACAGATGCATCACATACCGTTGAGAAGAACATGGTGAAGGTGTAGACGGCAGCTTCTAGCACATACCGGCTCCGAATGGCCAGGACCACAGGTGGCAAAAACATGAGGTTGCTCAGGCAGAGTAGGAGCGTGGACAGCAGCTGGAATCCATAGGTGAGTGCATCGGCACTGTCAGTACAGCCCCAGCCCCGCCACCCTGTAGGTAGGGAGGGCACAGGGTAGAGAACAGGAGGTAGCCACAAGTTCAGCAGATACTTCTGCTGGCCCCCAGAGTCCTAAGCCCATGTTGGGGCAAAGCATTTCCCCACTCCAAGCCACCTCCCAGGGTCAGGAAGGCCAGCATGCCCACTCCCTTGCCAGCATGCTCACCAGCCTTGCACTCGCAGGCTGCATATAGGTAATTGTGTGTACGCAACAGCTTGCACTGGCCGTAGGGTCCACAATCATCCACACACGGGGACAGGAAAGTGCGCAGCCGCACTTCAGCAGTTGCGTTGTGACACCGCACAAACCTGTACACACAATGACTGTTACCTGGAGCCAGAGTCTTCCCCACTCCACCCCCATCCACGTTGCACTGCTCACCGAGACCCTACACCACACAAGGAGCGGAGAGTCAAGAACCAGGTCCCTGTCTGTGGAAATGGGATACGTAGCCTGGCCACTCTGGAGGTGGCACTGACTGAGAGGAGGAAGCCAGCCAGGGACTCTGAAGAGGGAAGGGAGAGGGAAGAAGGAAGAAGCATGAGAGACAGGGAGGAGGAGCAGTCAGCCTGGGGTCAGGATCCAGGAGACTTCTACCCACCTATACCCACTGCCCAGAGACCCTGTCCTTCTTCCACACCATCTCCCACCAAGCCCAGACATCAGCCTCCTCTCCTTCCTACTCCTCACCCCACCTTTGGAACAGGTCACTGCAGCATCCCCCAGGCTCAAAGGCACCTCATGAGTCAGGCATCCGAACACTGTCACATTTTCTTGGCGCACAGAGCTCTGTAGGAACAGGTATTGAGATGAGGTTGTCAGATTCTTCAGGTGGATCCACCACCTCCCACCGGACTCCTACACCAGCCACCCTTCCAGACCTCACTGGACCTCACTTAATCTAAGGCAAGGTTTGCCTGCCACTTTGATGAGACTACCTCAGATCATTTATTTCAGAGACAGGATGACCAGTAGAAGTATGACCAGAGAAGAAGTGGCAGATAAAGAGAGATCTGAATACTAGGGGCCCAAGGCACCAAGGCTGTTTCAACTTTGGGGAATCTAAAGGGAAACATCAGAGGGCTGTTCAAATACAATAGGGATATAGTGAACACATCTCACCAAGATCAGATGTCAGTAACAGGGAACACTGTTCAGACAGAGAAGGGCATTGAACTGAGTACTTTCTGCTCACTCTATAAACTAAAACTGTGCTTAAAAAGTAGTTTATTAATTTAATTTTATTTATTTATTTTGATGTCAGGGACTGAACTCAGGGGCACTCAACCACTGAGCCATATCCCTAGCCCTATTTTGTATTTTATTTAGAGACAGGGTATCACTGAGTTGCTTCGTACCTTGCTTTTGCTGAGGCTAGCTTTGAACTCAAGATTCTCCTGCCTCAGCCTCCCAAGCCTCTGGGATTGCAGGCATGTGCCATTGTGCCTAGCACTTCTATTAATTTTTTTAAAAGGACAGGGATAGATTTACTAGCTATGACTTCTGGGCAAGACAAAGATCAAAAAAAAAAAATCTTGCAGGCAGACTTTGACGGAATGTTAGAAACATCACTGGCAAAAGAAGCTACCCAAACAAGGACTGCCTGAGCCCCTCTTTACAGAAGATATGCAAGAAAAAATGAACAATTACCACTGGAGAGGCCCTCTGCATAGGCAGTCAGCCTACAAAAATAGAAACTCAGACCACTCTGAGTTGCCCTGGCTGACCCAGCCTGTTCTCAGCATGGTCAATATGCAGAGCATGCTTTCTGACCAAAACTGGACTGAGACAAGTTCTCTTAAAATGGGAGCATGGTCTTATTGGATAGGTGGAAGTGACCCATTCAATAGCTTAGGTGGAAGCAGTATGGACTGGCTTTTTGGAGGAAGCAAGGCCCTCCACACCGCTGACACCTTCCCCCCCTTCAACTCCCCCACAGGACAACCACTCCATTCTACACAAAGAGTACCGCATTGAGCTGGAGCTCTAAGCTGAGGACACCTCCACTGTCCAGAACTGGCAATAGCCTCAGGGCAAACACAGCTGGGCGCTCAGGTGGAAGAGCCACACTGGGTCCAAAGAAGATGTAGAAGTGGACGGAGAAGGTGTCCAGCTCATTGCGCAGAGTCGGGCGCACTGGCCAGCAGTGCTCAGGTGGAGATGTGGCCTCAGGCCCCTCTGCAGGAGTCCTCAGGGATGGTGGCTCTGGAGGAAGTGGTTGGTTGCCCAGTGATTGAGGCATGTTCATAGCAGCTCCAGGGACCAGGGCACGGGACAGACTGGGCTGTGGGCACTCTGTAAAGCAGAAGAACCAGAGCTGACACCTGTAGCCCTCACAGCCCTACAGCCACACCACAAACCAGAACTGAGCCAGACAGGAATTATCAAAGGATATGAGGGGTAAGAACTAGAATATGATATCTCTTGGGAGTGTAGGGCATCCAGCTTGCAGGTCAGGGTCCAGGTTTTCCCAGTGGACACAGCTAATATAACATCATGTTGAAGGAATCAAGATCATCTGTCCCTCCCCTAAGGGCAGTGAAACACTGTTGAAACAGGTAACTAAGTATGACAGACGATCTCACTGAATTGCATGGACTTTGGCAATGATAGTATCCCCAGAAGTCCTAGTTGTTCCTGCCTACCCCAGGAAATTGAAAGAGGTTTAAATCAAGAAAAATAATGAAGAGTCATCAGCTATCTCAAGTCAGGTGCAAAACAATGATCTCAATGCCATTAATGATTTGGAGGCCCAAATTGTGGGGGCTTCAGGGAATGTGAAGAAACCTGGGTGGGATGGGGGAGATTGTAGAGATATGGCAGAGGGTCACTGAACACAGCAATCCAGATCATTTCCCAGTCATGGATGTTTGTACAGGCTGAGTGACTGGGGTACATGTGAGGGTTCTGACCTTGTAGCCACACACATAGCTGGAAGCGGATGGTCCTGCCAGGGCCCCGATATGATGTCTCCACACGCACGTAGACCCAGTGCCCCCAGGGGGGCAGTGCCAGCTCCAGCTGGCATACTGAGGTACCTCCACAGGCCACGGAGCTTGAGTTGTGCAAGGGTGGGGCCTTGGGACGTAGGCGCAGTGTCAGAGGGCAGGCAGACACCCCTCGGCCCCCCACACACACCAGCTGCGCTGAAACCCTGTAAGTAAAGCTGGGCACAAAGACCCTGGGCAGAGGAGAGGTTGGGGGCAAGAAAGGACAGTGAGGTGAGAGGACACCAGAAGGAGGGAAACATGAGGAAGAAGGGAACGGGAGGGGATAGGAAACACAGGAGCATAGGTGGCCTTTTCAAGTCTTGTCCTCTATGCTAGAAAAGAGGAGGCAGGAATCCAACCCACCCTGGGGGTTCTGGGTCACCCAGCCATCTAGTTTAGCCAGAGGATGAACAGGATCAGGCAGGTGGCTGAGAAACCAAAACAACCCTGCCATCTGCTTAAGATCCAACAAGGAAGTGAAAGGGGGCCCAGTATAGAGAGTATCTGACTTACTTGTACAGGGCTGAGCGATTGTGTGGAAAAAGGGTTTGCTCTGAGGGTCGGCCAGGAACCAGTACAGCCACGTCCAGCAAACGCCGAACAATCAGCTGCGGTTGAAGGAGATACTGACACTCATCCTGGAGACCCTGAGACAGAAGCAAGGGTGGCAGGAGCAGGAGAGACAGCAGGGGTGCTAGTAAACCAAAGCTAAATAGATTAGAGAGAACCCTCCCTGCTCATCCCCCTCCCCTGTCCACCTGATCCCAGGGTTCTGACTGTGGTCTTTCTAAGCTCTGGTCCTTCCTACCTGAGCAGTCATTTCTGATCTCCTCTATCCTACCTGGGTCTTCAAAGTCTGCTGTGATCCTCAGCACTGACAGATTTGGGGACTTAAGCCCAAACCCACCCAATAATCAGGCCCTTGTGCTTCTCCCAACCCAACCCTCTCTCTTGAGCATTCCTAGGATGCTGTAATTTCAAACCACCCCATTCCCTGACCAGAACACTGGCTCTCTGGGGGTGGGGGTCAGGGGAAGCTCATTCAAGCCTTCCTAGCCAACTCCCACCACTACCACCACCACCATCTGAATCATTCACTGCTTGTATGTCCCACCTTGTTCCCTCCCTTGTCCAGTTTCTGCTTCGATATTCCCAGTGAGGGTTACTCATCACCTCTCAGGCAACCTCCAGACTTTTTGTAACTTGAATACAAGAACCTTTGTTTTATTTTGTTTTTGTTCCTTCAGATATAAGGCCAAATGTAGTATACAAAATACATAATAAATGTCTGTTTAATAAATGAATCAATAGGGGGCTGGGGTTGTGGCTCAGCAGCAAAGCGCTTGCCTCGTACATGTGAGGCACTGGGTTCAATCTTCAGCACAACATGAAAATAAATAAACAAAATAAAAATAAATAAATGAATCAATAGTGAAACATACTAGCTTGGGGCAGCTCAAACATTTTTGAAGACAAAACTTATCATCTTTGAATCCCCTTCCCACCTCTTTGCCCTTGAGACCCACAGTTACACCTGTCTCCTCAACCTGAGACTATTTATTCTGACACTGGAGGACAACATCTCCCCCAGCTTATCTTGTCCTGGACAATTTACCTAGCCCATTCTTCTCTACTGCACTGACACCACCCCATTACTGAGCCCCATTACTCCAGTGAACACAGTCCCATTTGTTATGGTTCCTCTTCTCCAGCATTTTCAGATACATAATTCTAAAAACCTAACAGTTAAGGGACAGAGTGGTCTCCTAATTTGTTTCCTATAATCTTCTGGACAAATGGTCTTCTGCTGACCCAAGAAAGTAAGGCCATGACCCACTTACGTGGTTATTCTGACCAGAACATACCTCCAAACCTTGTTCTGAAATAAAATTTCCAGGCCCTGACATTCCATTGAGTTTCATGCCATGGAATAACCCAGTCAAGATACTGACTCCCTGCCAAGTTCCATGAGGTTGGAAGGAAGCCTTGAGAGATGATAGCCAGAAGATCTCACTATCCTCTTCCTGGAACACAGAATGACATCCCCAGTGCCTAGCATGGATCTGGCATACACAGGGTGCTGAAGAAAAACAGCCATCAAGTTGAAATAATAGCTATCAAGTAAGTTAAGTGTCAAAAGAGGGTTCTTCCAAAGAGCTACTGAACCAATCTAGTTGCTTCACAAATTTCCCTCTCTGATATACAAAGCACATGTCTGTCATTTAAGGTGTCACACCCTAAGGATCAGAAATACTCTCAATAAGGCATTTCAGATGCCCCACCTCCTAAGTTGGAAATCACCACAAAAATCTTTCAGTGAGTGAGTCCTGAGGGTGGGGCTCATGCTCAGGAAGTAGCCCATTTCCTTGCTAGACAGTTCAGGGATATAAACACTGCTCCACATTTTGTTTGCTATTTGCTGTGGGCTTCAGTAAGGATCAGATGGCATGACTTCTCTAGTTAAACCGGGCTCCTTCCTTCAACTGTAAAACATGCATGTCCAGCCCCTTCCCTCAATGTGGAATAGAAAACAGAGAAGTTACAGGGCAGAGAAAGGGCCCAGAAGTCAGGTCCTCAAGAACTGACAAGGCAGAAACCATGTAAGAGAATTCAAACTAAATCAACAGACCAAGCCAACATTAACAGCCATGGAAGGAACAGATTCAAAGCAAAGAAGCTCAAGAAACCAGAGAGTCAAAAATTATAAGTAGATGAGAAACAATCTGAAAGATCCTGGTGTGGAAGACAAGGTAGATGGATTCTGGAATGTCTTTGTATGGGTGAGCTGCATTTCTTTAAAAGATGGAAGATGCCCAAAGAAACTTGGCCTTCTCTGTGGAAATAGCCTATTACTGGCCCAGCTCCCTTGCCCACAGTTGTCAGCACCAATCAACAGGAAAGTAAATGATGGCCAGAGAGACTGCAAGGGGCAGAAGCAGAAGCAGGGAGACCATTTAGGAGTTTAACATGGTGACCCAGGAGAAAGCTAAGAGAAGGTACACTAAGAGTGGAAATGGAGAAAAATGGAAATGAAACACTTCAGAAGTTGAAAAAAAATTTTTCTTTATGGATTGGTTATGGAGAAAATAGGAATCAAGACAGTGACATTTACTAAAAAAAAAATAGCTGGAAAAAGAAGAGGCTTGGATTGGAAGAAGTGAAATGGGAATCAAAGAGTTTTTTACCTTTAACTTTGCTTTGATTTGTACATAGTAAGCTTGAAACATTTCTTGGACATCCAATTGCAGATGCCAAATAAGCAGTTGAAAATTGAGTTTGAGATTCAAAGAAATTAGGCCTGGCTGCCTACTCTTAAAAGGCATTAAACTCATAGATGATATTTTAAACAATTGTGCTGGTTACACCAAGCAAGAGAATAAAAAAAATAAAAAGGAGGTGTTCTAGGACCATTTATCGGGTCACTACAGTACATACAGATGAAGCAGAGAAGCAGCCAGGAAAAGAGAAAGAGAGGGAGTCGGAGGTAGTGGGAAGGAGAACAAGGACAGTGCTATAATGTTACGAAGGTCAAGAGGAGAAAGTACTTCAAGAAGGAAAGAGTAATATAAGAAACTAGTTAACAGCTGATTACAAGTTAACTCTGAGGAGAGAAACTAGGAACTGGGAGGAGGAAAAGGGAAGACTTACTTTTCACTGTACGTCTTTTGTACCATTTGAATGTTATACCAGGTGCATATATTACCTATTTGAAATATATAAATACAATAACTTAGAAGGAGGAGGAAAAACAGCAAAGGTACTATTAGTAGACTTGAACCACTTCAGGTGAGATTGAGTCCTACGTAGTCCTAGTTAGTGGATCGAACAGGTTCTTTTCCTTCTTTGCTTTCTTTTTGGTTGTTTTCTTTATTTCACCTTTTATTTAGTTTCAAATTTTAGACCCAGAAGAGGAAGGCTTTGAGGAGAACCTATACCCATCCATGTAGGAGAACTTTCTCCTTATGAAGTATCCTTATGAGTCATTTGGGTTCCAGCTGAAATCTACAAGCTAAAGGCCAGCCTCTCCAGGCAGGCTGGCAACTAGGCACTATAGAACGAACACATTCTTCAAGATAGGAAAGGCAAGGAGATTGGGAACAGAGGGACAAGACAGAAGTGGTTGATACGAAAAAGGCAACAAGGGAAGGAGGAGAAATGAAGTCAGTTTGGGATATAAGAGTTTGAGAAGGTGGTAGGAGGGCAAAAAAAATTGCCAAGGCTCCACCATGGATCAGACAATGTGCTGGATACTAGTAATAAATAATGCAGATATGGGCTCTAGCAGAATGTGGGACTGGAGCTCAGAAGAGCAGCCTATACCAGATAAGTTACTTCCCTCTTATAACCTTTCCAGGCTCCTCAACAGTCTCAGGATACAGTTCAAACTTCTAGGCCCTTCAAGAGATGACTTCCATTAACCCCTCCACCTTCCTCACCCAACCTAACACCCGGCCCACACTGAACTACTCCAGTTCTCCCTTCTGAACTTTGGCATATGTTACTCCCATTATATGGAATGCCTTCCCTCCTCATCCTTAGGCCTTACTTCCTCTAACATTTGCCAAATATCACTTCCAACAAACTCTCAAACTGAATTAGCCACTTCTCCTTTGTCCTCTTAAAACACTTCCTGTATCTCACCAAAATATATCTTATTTACCCCAGTGTTCCCAGCACCCAACATAAGGCCTAGTACAAGCAGGTGCAAAAGGACTAAGGAATAAAGGCTATCTGAGCTTATCCCCAGAGTTGAGGAAGATCCTAGAAACAACACTGCCTTTTCCATTGTTGGAACTCTTTAGCTCTCACCTAAGTCTATTCCTGATTCCCCATAACTTCCTGTGTTTGATGAGTCTCACAGGAAGTCAGAACAACCATGGTACAAGGACTACACAAGTAGAGAGGATGGAGGAATGTTCTGGGCATAAACCCATGGGTTTGAGTGTGGAAAACTAGCCATGGTATGAAGAGCTTGGAGGTGTGTATAAGAGTTCAGATGGCAATCAAATTCTTAGAAGGATCACACACAACTAATCTCTAGAGCAGGACTGGCTAAAGAGTTACATCTTCTTAGTGTCTAAACTTTTTGCCACCTCATGAGCAAGAGCTGTGCCCTTTCCCCCTAGTCACATTGCAGCCTGGGAGCCCTGCTGGCTGAGGCTCCAGCTACAGTAGCAAGGACTTGTTCTAAATAGAAGTAAATAAGCATGGCAGACCTGGTTCTTTTCTTATTACCCAGCTCCCTTTAATCTGAGCACTTTGAATCATGCTTTAGGTTTAGAGCAGCCTTTCTCTGTACTACTATCTCTGATTCCCCATTTTCCCAATTTGGCAGCCATAAGAAACCCTGTCCACTTCTACTCAGGCCACAGCTGCCATAATCCCAGCCTAAGACTAAGCCCCAGGATCCTCTGCTCATTTAGGAAGATTATGGATAATTAGAGAAGGGATTGAAGAGTCTCCCCATCAGTTCTCAAAAAGCAAGTCAAGGATCAGAGTTGGGATTAGGTGCAGGTTCTTTGAGATTTGGCCAAAGACCCATGAAGACATTCCTCCCTGGTTCTGATATAGCTCAAGGCCTACCTAGAGCCCAGAGCCTTTTCCAGGTAAGCTTCCAGCATGAACTCATTCAGAGGGCTCCCAGGCTCTCTTCCTCATCACTCTTAGGAAAACTAGGCCTATTATCGAGGCCTCCAGAGGCTACTTCATTCCTAGTTCATGTCTCTGCCAACAACAGAGCCAGTGTACTTGTCCCTGTGCAATTCACAGCTCATTCAAAGGCATTATTAACACATGTTCTTAATGCTGGACTCCAACAGGAAGTGAAGAGGTGAGTCTGACACAATCACTGTCTCATTCCTCAAGAAACTTATCCTGGAGAGATATATCAAAGTCAAATATTGACCTGGATGGGAATTTCTTCCCCTCCCAATTATCAGTGACCAAATTCCACCAGCTTTCTTATTCTATAATGTCCTGTTCTTTAAATATTTGCTCTGCTCATGCTTTGACCTTTGCCCTTACTAACAGCCCCACACATATGGCTATCCCACTCTGACAATGTCCAAATCATCATGCCCTCCCCCCTTCTCCAACAAACAGGAGTAGGAAACTTACAGCTCTCCTTACAACTGCGAGGAAGCCCAGCCAAACACATGAGAGTGGCAGGAAAACTCTGTGATGTTTCCTTCCTCTCCCAACCAAAGAAGCACCCTGCCCTTTAACCTGCCCTTTAGACTTTAATAATCTCTGCTTTGTAAAATCAGTGCTGATATTTAAATGAAATGGTAAGGCCAAGTCATAATGGTCACTGGCCACCCAAAATCTCCTTTTAACAAAAGAGGGCTTCTCTTATGGTTTCCACAGGGTGAGGAGTGCTGTCTGAAACTATGATGGATGAGCAACATACTCCCTGTTATTCTAGAGATTAGGCTGTGAACTAAGAGAGACTTCAGGGATCTCACCAGCCAAAATGTACACAAGATCCTAGAAATAACACTGCTGAATTTGTACAGCAGATTTGACCAGTGCTGAATTTGTACAGCAGATTTGACCAGTCTCTTGTTGGCTTCTGGTCACCTTGATTAACCCTAGTGAGTTCCAATAGGAAGGGACACTACACCCCAGTGTCAGAACCTCTAATTCCAGGTTATGGACTTTGTCTTCATTTTCCTGGAACCACTATATCTCCCTAAGGCTCCCAAGTTGTATCCTGCAGACTATCTCACCAAATGATGCTGGCCTGAAAGCCATGCTCTACCACAACCACCCTTGTGCTGCTGCCCACCCTGGCTCAAGATTAGTGTGACTGGTAGCCCATGCAATAAATTCAGCAGAGATGGAGAGGCAACTCTGATCCCTCCTACCCTGGGCAATATACACCCACCTTGACAGAGATGTGGCCATGCGCCTGGGGAAGGTGGGCAGCCAAGAACCAGTCCCCAGGTAACGGGCTGCTGACGTTAAAGATGCCTGAGGTGCGGTTGGGCAGTGTCCAGCTGAGGGTCAGTGAGAAAACCCCGGGCACAGCTGTGTCCCCTGGGAAGTGTGTATGCAGGGGATTGATGACAGGGGGTGCCCCGGACCGGAAATACCTGAGAGACCAGAATTAGGAGAGAAGGAAAGCAGGCAATGGAATAGGAGATAGGAAATGGGGGAAAGAAAGGAGAACTGTAACTCATCATCAGAAAAACAAATGGATTCCCTATACTGACCCATACAATAAAGTGGTTCCAGGTTAGAAGTTCAGGCTATAAGGAGGAAAAGGTCAGCTCAGTTGCTCACACTATTATACAGTAGTCAGGAAGTAGTTAGATGACAGAGTTCACGGCCCTCAGTCACACTCCAATATGGATAAGGGTCAAGATCAGGGTCAAGAGATCAGTTTACATACTCATAAAGTCACACTTTAGTTTGGAAAGTGTTCTGGATTTAGAAGGGGAAGTGGGAGGGCAACCCAGACACTTACACAGTCACACTTTGATCTGGGCAGTGATCTCCAAAGGTTCCTCCCTGCTCCTTGAATATGATGAGGTTCCAAACTGCCAGGAATGTGTCTTCAGGGACATGGAAGTGGAAGAGCTCGGTGCTGGCAAAGGAGCGAAAAGGACTCAGCTTTCGGGGTGAGCAGGTAGAGTAATCAGTCAGGAAAAGGCCTCCTAGGAAGTAGGAGAAAGAGAAAAGAGCAGAACAGAACAGAGGGCATTTCCATTAGGCATGCCAGTCACCCTAACCATAGCACCAAATCAACAAATGCTCTCCTCCAAGCCAGGAAGTAGATCTCATGATGCCCTAGTAAGCATTTGGTATAATCCTTACAGGGACCTTGTTAAGAAGGAAAAAGAAAAAAATATCTTATTTTACAAATAAGGAAACTGAGGCTCCTACCTAGACCAAACTGAGGATTTAAAACCAAGGCCCTTTAGATAATCTACAGCTGCCCCCTTACTTAGGAGCCATTGTTTTCTTCTTACCAAACCTTACAACCTAACAAAACAGAGGTATAGAAGGTGTGTTTGTGTGTGTGTGTGTGTGTGTGTGTGTGTGTGTGTGTGTGTGTGTGTGTGTTGGCGTGGGCTCTTAAGCCACTGAGCAGGCTAAAACTCCACCTGTGGGGCCTGGGAGTCAGCATGGAACTGTGTAACTTCCTTGTTTATTTTCTGCCCCTTTCTGTTCCCTGGTGGTTAGGAGCAGCAAAATCCCTCAGAAGCTTCACAAGAGCTGTCTGTATACTAACTCAGAGCAGGAGAAGGGAGGGGAAGGTGTGGTGAGGCTGCAAGGGGGCCTGCTTGGGTGGCAGAGGCAAGAACAGGAGCTGGCAGACCACCAGCAGAGTGCCCAGGAAAAGAGAGTCATCAGGCCCTCTAGGGTTAGAGTAAGCAGCCAGGGGTGTTTACCCTGAGGGAGGCCCTGTGAGGCAGTCATTTGGTGACCCAGTGGAATCTCAAACCACTTGGGAATATTCAGAGCAGACCAGGCTAGGAGGTGGGGAGGAAGTGGTCATCTCTAGCTAAAATACCGAGATACCTGATCATAGTTGTCAGCAGCAGAGCCAAGGTGAGCAGGAACGTGGTGTCAGCACCATCCAAGCCAACATGTGGGGACTAGGACTGCTGTGGTGATGAAGAAAACCCAGCAGTTTATCTGGATAGAAAAAGAGTGTTCTAAAAGACAGGCAAGGTCTTCCAGAGTAAAGCTCTAGGGAGTTTGACCACTCTGGAGACTTCCAGACCAGTCCCCATAGAAGCCCAATAGCATGTCTTAATGACAAGTGAGAAGGTGGGGAAGTCAAGCATTTTCAGGACAGAACAGGGGTTAGGGTGGGGAGTTTCTGGAAGGGAGTTTTCAGGCAAGCAGGAAATACCAAAAAGGTGTAAATCTGACGGTCTTTAAAGACAGGAGACACAAATTCCCAAAATGTTATTTCCTTGAAATAACAAAGAAAAAGGCATCTAGAAAAGCATGGCTACTGAAGGAGGGAACATGGTAAAGATTGGCCCCACTAAACTGAGGCAACTTTAAGAGTCACAGACACTCCAGAGAGCTTCCCTATATAGGTAGAGGCCACTGCTCTAAATTGGTCTGTGCTCATCCTCAAAGGTAATGGTTACACTCAAGCACTACTCTTTCCAGTTCCAACAGTATCATCAGTTTCAACTATCAGCAAAGATCTGTCACCTTGCAAGCTGAGCACTGCCCAGGAACCCAGAAAGGCTCACAGCACAGCACAGCACTCAGAGAGCAATGGAGATGCATCCAAGAGTGATAAAGGGCATCAGGACCAACTGATGGGGAAGGCAGGTTTTCTAGGAGCCCTGGTTGTGACAACTGTGAAACAGAAGGCCTACAGCTGAAGAGCCTGGATTCTGTTTCAAAAAATAAGAGCTCTAGAGCACCCTCTGCTGGGTTTAGGGAAGGGCTGCTCCTGCTCAAGGCTGGTAGGGGAGCCTTTGCTACTCTTAGGAGACTTGTTGGTCAGTCCCTCAGAGAGCTAGTGTTAAACAGCAGCTTGTGACTTTTAGCAAACATGGGAGGCTGAGCACAAAGAGTCCTGGGATTTGAAAGATAGTAGTATGACCTAAAGAATCGGGGAACTAGTAAGCCATCCCCAAAGTGATTAGGGGCTGTGGAGGTCACAGAATAGGCTGGTGGCAAAAAAGAGTGAGCAGCAGCTGAGAATGCTGGGAGGAACCTTGAAGTAGTTCTGGAGACACATCCTTGAGAAAGGGTCCACAGCTCCATTCACCCCAAGCTTTTATATGGGGCTTGAACAGGGCCTACCAGAGCTGTGCCAAAGAAGAAACATAAGTAAGGCCTTAGCCAAGATCAGATGATCCTGTCCTGATGTCCCAGTACTTTTATGATGAAGCTAGGGAGATTTACCACTACTAACCCCTGCACATACACTCATATATGTGCACATGTATGCATACACACACTTACTCATACATGGAGGCTGACACTGCTCCTAACAGCACTAGGTAGAACAAAATAGAATTTTTAATATGTTTATATTATATACTTATATACATACATACACACACACTTACATGCTGGAGATTGAACCCAGGGGTGCTCTACCACTGAGCTACATCCCCAACCCTTTTCTATTTTGAGACAGGATCCCTCCAAGTTGCTGAGACTGGCCTCATACTTGCAATCCTCCGGCCCCAGCCTCCCAAGTCACTAGAATTACAGGGATGTACTACCACACCTCACCAAAAGATCATTTTTCAAAATGACAAGGCATGCCCAGGTTATCAACCAGAGTCAGCTAAACCCAAGGAATGACCCAAAGATCAGAGACAGAATCAGAAGATCCAGAAAGTAACTTCCATTCTTGAAATGAGATTGAAGTCAACAATAAGCATTTGTGCAGTCCTATACTATGATGATTCTATGACACTGACAGTTTCTCTTCAAACAAAGCCCATCACCACCACTAGGTCACAGCACCCATGAATGCCAGGTCACAATTGTCAAGGCACTGGCTAATAACAGTACTAAGGGAAGCTCCACCTGCTGTTGGGCCTATTTGGAATTCTTTTCCAGTTTCATTATAATTCTCCCCAAAGCAGTGAACCTGCTTCTGGGCAATCATATTTTATCCACAACTTTCAGTCCTGTACACTGTGGCTTGCAGTCATCCTCCTCCCCTTGCCAGCCCAGTGGGCTCATGAACAAAGAAACCCTGGTGGCAGGGATAGAAGCTATGGATTAGGCTAACTAACCAGTATGGGTTCCCTCATCAAAACTGAAAAGCTGACGGGCTGCTGACTCTGCTGAGTGCCCAACTTGCCAAATGTAACAATCAACACTGAATCCCATTTTCCTCAATGATTCCTTCCTTCTAGGAGATGGGCTGGAGACCAGTGGATTAGTTCTATATATTGTGAACACTGTCTTCAACCTAGGAACCATCTACTTCTAAAGGTAACACTTCAGTGATAAGTCTGTACAAGCAGCAGATAGAGATGAAGAGGTTTATGCATGAACCACATGTCCCCTCATGCTCACACAAAAACATAGGCACTCTGAGGACACTTGGGTTATGCGTACCCCACAAAAACCTGTGGTTATACTCATCAACACACAAACATACACAAACACTGCACATGCCAATATTCTTACAAATCCCTCAATTAACACACAGCATATAAATGTGCAGGCATCTCTGCAGGGTCTGTGACCTTTGGCTTGCATTGATCTCCTCAGATCTATACATAAACCAGACTCACAGAGCTCAATGAAACCCACCTTTACCCACAGCTGTTCTGTTAGCTGTTATTGCCAAAGACTCCATAGGCACATCTCCATGTGATCTAGAGTGCCATCATCCAGCAGAGGTACTTAGAAGCTGAGGCCATGAAGACTACAGTCATTTCATTATGGAGCCACTGATATGGCAAATCCCCTAGGCCAGGACCCTTCTTCCTCCCTCATTCCACCCACTAAGAAGCTGGACCTCTTAATAGCCAAGTTACTTTCTGGGCTAGATGGTGGCCCCAGGTTGACAGTTGATAAATAATAAACAGTTCACTGATGAAGCCCCTTTGTAGGCAGACTGGGGAGAAGAGAGGTTGTACTTTGAACTTTTCCTTACTTCATCTTGTTTCCTATTCAGTGTACATTGCAATGGGGTGAGAAGGGGGAAACACTAGTAAGGACAGGATTTAGGAAATATTTTTCTAGCCCCAGCACCATTTATAAATGATATGACCTTTAACAAATTGCTCCCTCACTGAGCCTCAGTTTCCCCATCTGTAAAACAGCCTCTGGGTTTCAACCATGCTCTAAAACTATCAAGAATTATTCCTAGGCAAATCAAGCTTGTTTGGAAAAAGACTCACTACAAGAAGAAAGCTCATTATATTGGCAACTAATCTAGGTCCATCTATTTGCTACATGTTATCTTTAAATACTCTGCACTGAGTATATCCAATATCTCAAAGGTTTAGGCCATATCTTCTCAGAGTGGACTAGAGGCTTCTGATACAAGTTTATGTCTTCCCCTATCAAACTTTGACAGAAGGAGGAACAAAGCCCTCAAGACTTCCCTAGGAAAGCCAGAATCAAGGGGGGTCAAGATGGACACCAGCAGAGAAAACCTTTAAGTCTCTGTTCTAGGGACTCAGCCACTTGCTGAATCTCAAACCCAGTTCCACTCTTGATGCTGCCAATTCCTCTGTTGTATAAACCCTCTCTCCTCCCTATTTCTCCCCACTTCTTCCCCAGAGATCTAGCTCCCCAGGTCCCATCTCTCCTGAATCTCTCCCAGCCCACCCAGCCCTACTGGAACCCCATCCTTGCCTCAATTTTTCCTGCTTCCGCACTCACCAGCCCCTGGACCAAGGACAGAGAACAGCAACAACAGCAATAGGGCTGGCGGCAGCTGGAGCCCAGACCTGAGTCGAGGCTGGGAGAGGGGCAGAGTATGAGAGGGGCGGGGGGCCAGCGGGAGAGACTTGGGTAAACTCAGAGATGAGGGCAAAGGCTGAGATAATGGATTGGGCTGAGCTGAGGACTGGGGCTTGAATAAGGGCAGGGGGTGTGATGGAAGGTGGGACTGTGCTGGGGACCTGAGCAAGGGCCGAGGTTGGGTCAGGGACTTAAGCGAACCCTGAGAATGGGGTGGGGGCAAAGGCTGGGCTACAATTTGTGACAGAGGGTTAAACAAGAGCCGAGGCCGGGATGAGAGCCAGGCCAGGGACAAGGACTGGGACTGGAGGGGGGCCCTCGATTGGGACCCGGACCTTGGCATTCGCTGGGACCCAGACCGGGGTTGGGACAGATTTGGGAAATGGGGCGAGGGCGGGGCCGGAGGCCAAGACTGGGATTGGGATAGGATGAGGGGCCGGGATAAGGGCTGGGCCATGGCCCGGGGCGGGGGCGGGGCCGGACTGGCCAAGGCGGGACGCTCGCAGAGCTGACCCGCGGCTCCGCTCCCCACCCCCTAGGGGTGGCCTTCCGTGTCCTCGAGGGCCTGGGGCCGGGGTCTGGGACCTGGGTAGGAGTTCAGGCCTGGGCGACTCCGGGCTGCGCTGAACCGGCGATAACCAGGCCCCGCGGCGGCGGCCTGGGCCTGACGTCGTATGACGCTCCGCCCCTGTCCCAGTCCGATTGGTCCCTCTCAATAAAGCCCGCCCCCTGACCAATTCTACTGGTCTTTAACTTAGTCCTGCTGGGTTTCGAGAACAGACTCCGCCCAGCCCAATTCACCTGAGACCTTTCCCTTCTCGCTCCTACTACTGAGCCCGTTGACCCCTCAGATCCTCACAGCCCCCACTGAACACCTCACAGATTCTCACAGGAACCCTAGAGGGACCCTCACAAATCTAGACTCCCCACGGATGTAACCACAATATCGACACATCCTACCTAGTGACTCGCTGAAAACCCCCTTAGCAGGTCCAATGTAGTCCCCTCAGGAAACCGCAGCCTCGAGAAAGATGTTTAGACTGCCATTTGGCTTGGAGAATACTGGGCGTTCTGGTTGTCCTGGTGACCGATCTCTCCTCTCCCGGCCCGGATTCTAGGGGTTTCAGTCAATCCCCTCCCTCCTTGACCCTGGACCCGCTCTTCCTTATCGCCACTCCCTAGGTAAGGCAAGAGTCTCTTTGCGAAGATCTGCGGATGTTCAAGTCTCCCCAAACAATAGACTTTCAAGCAAGGCCTTTCACTTTTCACCTCCTGCAGTCGGGCTCATCCACAACCAAGATCCTCTCTTGGGATTGACACTTTCCTCTTCAATCTACCATAATTTTCTGATCTAAAGACAACAACCAAGCCAAAGCCCAAAGGTATGTAGTTTCTCCAATGGTTCATCCCACCCAAATCTTCAACCTGTTCCCCTCCTAATACCTGTCCTGCCACCTTCTACTTTTCATCCTTCTCCTCCCCATCCCTCAGTCCCTCTTCTCCCTCTGGTTCCCTTTCCTTTCTTCCCATTCTTTAGTTCTCCAGCCTGCGGTTACTTTTCCCTCTAAGTGACTTTGAGCCTCTTCCCACTTATCACCTACCTCTGTCACTACTTCCCATCCCAAACTTTCCTTTGGAAAGGCTCTGATGGATTATGGGTTTTTTGTTGTTGTGTTGTTTTTGTTTTGTTTTTTGTCTTTTGGTACTGAGGATTGAACCAAGGGGTATTTAACCACTAAGCCACATCCCCAGCCCTTTTTTTTTTTATTGTATTTAGAAACAGGGTGTCTCTGAATTACTTAGGGCCTCTCTAAGTTGCTGAGGCTGGCTTTCAACTCGCAATTCTTCTGCCTCAGCCTCCCAAACTCCTGGGATTACAGTCATGTGCCACTGCACCCAGCTTCTAATGAGTTTAAGAAGTGATGTATCTAGTGTCTCTGGAGCAAGGCAAAAAGTAGAGAGCAGAGAAAGTAAAGGCAGGAATGCTCAGTAGTGTTGCAAATGATAACAGACCTTGAATGGCATGGCAAAGAAATTTGGACTTAATCCAAATTTAAAGTGAGTCATTGAATGCTTTTAAGCAAGGCAAGGCTAATGTTGGGTTTGTGTTGATTGGGTCAGGAAGAAGGACTACCTATCTGGGGCCTCCTTCCAGGAGGAATTAGGCAGCCCCATAGCATCCTATACTTACCCCAGCACAATATCAATTATTCCTTGTCATTGTTAGTTGACTTGTCTCTCCCAAACTCAGCTGAATCCAAGGCTTAGCACAGTGCTTGAGTAAAAGCATAAGATCAGGCTCTTTGCAAAAAGTGTAAGTTGCATAAATGAATAAAATAATGGGTGAATGAATTAATATGCTGGGGGTGGCAGTACAGAGGCAAAGTTATTACCCAATTCAGGCAGAAAATAATGAGAACTTGAACAAAATTGGAGGAATAGGAAAGGAGAGAATGCGTATCAAGACTTTTTAGAGGGGCTGGGAATGTGGCTCAGGCGGTAGCGCGCTCGTCTGGCATGCGTGTGGCCCGGGTTCGATCCCCAGCACCACATACCAACAAAGATGTTGTGTCCGCCGAGAACTAAAAAATAAATATTAAAATTTCTCTCTCTCTCTCTCCTCTCTCACTCTCTCTTTAAAAAAAAAAAAGACTTTTTAGAAAATAGAAATGCAGTTCTCATTGCCGATTTGAAAATCGGACTTAGCGAAAAGAAGACTAGGATAATTTTCAGAGTTCAATTTGATGTCTCTGGGACATCCATTTAGAAATGTCCCATGGGCAGTTGGGTGAGTGTGAAATACAAGAGTCTAAAGAGGGTCTACACTGGAAATATGGACTTAGAAGTCAGCAGCACACAGCTAGAAGTAGTTGAATCCTTAAATATGAATGACATCATCAAGAGAGGGTATTTGTGGTCCCTAAACAAAACCAGGCTACAGACAGGGCCTCCCTGCCTTAGGCATCATGGCATACTCTTCACTCTTGAGAGCCAACCCCAACTTTGGCCTGATATTCTCAATCTCTGGAATGCCATAGCTTGACCTCCAGGGGCCAAAGACATACCTAGGACCCAGCTCTTGGACTGGCCAAATAGGCTCCCTCCTAGGGCATGGTCCTCTGCTACCATCTACTGATGGGATTCTGACTACTTCGGTCTTTCTTTTTTTTTAAGTATTTATTTTTTTAGTTTTTTATGTGGATACAATATCTTAATTTTTATGTGGTGCTGAGAATTGAACCCAGTGCCTCACACATGCTAGGTGAATGCACTACCACTTGAGCCACATCCCCAACCCTACTTTGGCCTTTCAAACTTTTAAGTTCCAGCTCCCTAACCTCCCATTAGCAGCATGCCACATCATGTCTGCCACATGAGTGAACTTCCTGGCATTATACCTGGAGACACTCTTTTTTTTTTTTAATTAGCTACATGACATTACAATGATCTTGGCAATTCATACATTTGAATCAACTGGGATTGGAGACACTCTTTTTGTTTTCTTCTTGTGTCTCACATGTACTGAGAATCTTCTCCTAATTCTCTAACACCTCCACCCCCAACCCTGTGAACCCTATGCTCTCTGTCCTGACTTGTAGACCCTCCAGTCTCAAACTAACGAAGCCTGTACCTTATTCTACCATTAGATGGAAGCAGACAAGGTCACAGAAGAGCCTCATACCACCATGGATGCCAAGGAATACCCCTCTTCCAAGGACCCCTCTACTGAAGATTTACAGGAGCCCCCCATCTCTGAAACTACCTTGGAGCCTTCCATCTCCCAGACCCCTTTAGAGGCCCAGGCCTCTGGGAGCCTTTTAGAGCATTCTGTCTCTAAACCCCCTTTAGATAAATCCACTTTCAAGACCCTTTTAGAGCCCCACACCTCTGAAAATCCTTTGGAGCCTTCTATCTATGTAACCTCTTTAAAAGAGTCAGCCTCTGTGGTCCCTTTGGAAGCCCCTACCTCTGAGACTCACAATTCTGAAGTAACAGAGAAGCATATTGCTTTTCAGTCCTCACCAGTAAACCAGCTCTCTTCCTCTGATACATTGAGCGATGATGACCTCTCTGAGTCTTCTTCCAGTGAGGTCTCATGGACAAGGACACCCTCCCGGGAGCTTTTTCCAAAGCACTTCATTTTAGGCCCTTCAGCCCAGGACCACATGGACACATCTACCAAGCAGAAGGAAGATTCAGGGGAGAACAAGGAGGAAATGGATACCAATGACATCACTGCTCAGACAGCCCATCCTGAACACCAGCTGGGCAAGAAAAAGGAGAAGAAAGGAGTTGGCCGTAATTGCTCCTGCCCTTTCCCCTGTTCTCATCACTGTCTACTGTCCTTGACCTACTCCAGAAGGAGAGGACTGTGTTCCTCTTGGACATGGCCCTTCCTCTTGGTTTTAGGGACTTCTCACTTCCCCCTAGTTACTCATCCCCTCCCTTCCCAGGTTACACAGGCAGCCCAGTGGTCCCTGCTAAGCAGGCAGAGCTGATGGACCTGACTAAGGAAATGGAGAGGGAGAAGTCTGGTGCTCAGTTGAATCACCTTTTCCAATGGGAGAAGGATGCAACCCTGAATGCTATCCAGACAGGTGAGCCTAGGTGGCCTTTCAGAGGCCTGTAAGAGGGCCCATGGATATCTTCCAATCCAATAGGATCTGCCCATTCAATAGATAGCTGCCCCTTGTGGAAACAGCCATGTCATTCTGCCTGGAATCTGGAAGGGGAGCAAGCGGGTAGGCCAAGAAATAGTAGTGTGGGTCTGACAAAAGATGAGAATATTCATACAAAGTCCAGGTAGGTACAGATGGCCCATAATAATTTTAATAAATTTATTAAAAACAGAAGGGCCAGAGGCCAGCCCAAGATCTAGGGCCCAGATCCAGGTAGCCTGTACCAGACAGATCCTAAGGCAGACATGGCCCAGGACCATGGTCAGTCTCCAGGAGACTTGTTGTTCTGATATGGCAAAAACCATTGGCCTCTTTGGTGCAACTCAATTAAAAGCTGTCATCCCGCTGAGTGTGGTGGCTTATGATTATAACTCAGCAGCTCAGGAGGCTAAGGCAGGAAGATCACAGGTTCAAAGTCAGACTCAACTTAGTGTGGCTGTAAACAACACAGAAAGATAAGACCCTGTCTCAAAATAAAACATAAAAAGGGCTTGGAGGCTGGGCACATGGCACATGCCTGTAATCCCAGCGGCTCAGGAGGCTGAGGCAGGAAGATCATGAGTTAAAAGCCAGCCCCAGAAAAATCGAGGTGCTAAGCAACTCAGTGAGACCCTATCTCTAAGTAAAATACAAAATAGGGATGGGGATGTAGCTCAGTGATTGAGTGCCCCTGAGTTTAATCCCAGATACCCCCAAAAAAGGGAGGGAGCTATGGATGTGGGTCCGGGATTAAGCACCCCTGGGTTCAATCCCTGGTACAAAAAAAAAAGCTGCCATCCCTGCTTGTGATATTCATGATAATTTGTATATCCAAAAATTTTGAGTCTCCACACTGAAGAGGAGAGCTATGTCCTCTAGCCCTGTTGAATCTAAGTCTCAGTCCAGAGATAGTACCTTTAACTGTGCTGTTAGCAGCATGCTCTGAGTATCTCTGTACTGGGTGTGCAGACGAGCTGTGTAAACATATATCATCCTGTGTTTAACAATGTCTACCTGTGTTATTGAACTTCATATCTATAGGGATTACTGACTTCAGTAAGAGGGCCACCCTGACCTGATGAGAAGATTCTGAGATTTCTAGAATAAATTTATGTCATTACATTTATGTTGGTCTTTCTTACTTCCTTTCTACTTAAGATGGAAATAAGGCTTAAGATATAAAGATAACCAGGAAATTCCATATCCTTATCTCTTCTCTGTGTAATTTACTTTCCCCATTCCCATGCAGGATCCCTCCCCATTCTACCTCTAGCCAATGAAGTCACAATGATCTAATTTGTTTCTCAGTTTATTTCAGGCATTGAGACAGGTTTTTTTGTTTTGTTTTGTTTTTTTGCTTATTTTAATATCTGCTGTTACTCTTGCTTATTTTCTTGCAAATACAGGATCTGTTAGTTTCCCTTCTTAGATGCTCTTATCTACTACCTTCTTCTCATTTCTTCTTCTGAATTGAATGCCTTCATTTTCCTATTGAAACAGGAAGTGTAATTTAATCCTGATCAAAAGATATTTGGGGCCCCCTTTTAATACTGGGTATCTTCAGTCCCTAGAGAGTAATGACTACATGACAGTACATGTAACATGTTGATAAATGTCAAATGTAAGCTTTTTTTAATTATTTCAACAAATATTTGTGCACTATGTGCCAGTACGAGCCTAGTTGTGGAGGTAGTAGGACTGGAAAAGTTTCAAAAAAAAAAAAAAATTCCTCAGAGTCCAAAAAACTAATTTGCACTCTAATAAGTGACACCAATAAGGACAATTATAATTCACTTTAATAATTTTTATTCCAAGAATGCTGCAGGGGCAGAGAAGAGGGACACCCAATCTTGGGTAGTAAAGATTGAACAATGTCTTACAAGGAAAGATTTCTCAATTGATATCTGTAAGATAGTAAGAAGAGGCAGACAAGTCAAGAAAAGAGTAAGGTGAGACATGACAAGGCAGCTTAGGGAACAGCAGTACATTATACGTGGCAAATAGTGTTTTTAAGGGGGAGTAACCCAGGTCAGCTTTGGAAGTTAAGAATTGTGCAGGCATTTCTGTGCCCAACTAAAGAGTTGGAATTATATCCTGAGGGCAATTCAGAATCACTAAAAGTCTTTCATACTTCCTTTCCACTTAAGATGGAAATAAGGCCTAACATATAAAGATAACCAGGTAATTCCATATCTCAGGCCAAGCCTTGTTCTGTACTTCTGTATATCACCTGCTTATCCACTGTGTCCTGTTACTCCAGACAGGGTTCAGGATTCCTCTGGTGGAATCCTGGCTCCCACCCATTTCCATTGTGACACTGCCTCAACCAAGCTTTCTTGGTGTAATAGGGCATTGGCACTACAAGCTGTCAGCATCAAGACAGAATCAGCCAAGCCAAAAGACGCATCTGAACAAGTTTTAGGTCCTAAGAAGCTATGGGTAAGACTAGGAAACCTGGCCTGAGGCACAAATTTATGGATTGTGACCCTGGCCAGAGTTAAAAACAAAGCATGCCAATTCTTTTTCCTTATAGAACTTCAGGTTTATGCCTAGAATTGCTCACACAGTCAGGCAGTCTGTGTTCTCTGAGCACTTATTTCATGCCAGGCCCTGTGCTAGGAATAGAGATGTGTATGAAAAGACAGGTATTATCCTTGAGGAGCTCACACACTAATGGGAATAGAAGTGAACAGTCCATTACAATGTATTATGGTAGGAATAACACAAGAAGCTGTGGAATGGGTCCTAGACAGACAAGGGAAATCAGGGGCAACTTTTTGGAAGAGGTGAAATTTCAGTTGAAACTTCAAATGGGAATAAGAGTCCTGCAGCCTCAGGTCCTACTCCATGGGGACTCAGGCAGAATTCTTGGTTAGAAGAACAAAGGATGAGAAAATCTGAGTGGGAGGTGAGAAAATCTGAGTGGGAGGTGCTCTCTGGTTCTCCTACCATGTTGACATAGCACCACTCTTGTCTCATGGTGAGACTGGCCATGAAGCCAGAAAGCTTCAGATCCCACTGCTGAAACCAGGCTCTCAAAGATTGTAGCCTTCTGCTGGTGCCTGCTCTTAGGGATATTTATTAAGCTTGCTTTCCTTTCCATGCCTCCTTTCCTAGTCTCAGATCATATTCTTGGTCTTCAACAGCCATAACTTCTGGCCTACCCCCTTTTCCTGGGCCTTGGAGAGCAACAGGCAGCCCTTCTCAGGCTCAAAGAGGGTATTAGTTCCTTAACACTAGGAACACAGAAGAGACATATGAAGGAGCCAATCTAGAGAGGATAGGGGAAGTCCTCCTTCTATCTCCTGGTACCAAGGGTGCCCAACCACCTCCTCTTTTTCACGGTCTGTCACTAACCATCTCCTTAGGAACCAATCCCTATCACATACTGTATATCTGGCCACGTTTCCTCTTCCTCACCTCTAAGAGTCTAACACTTCAAAGGAACAAAGCAAAGCTGGGTTCTAATGTGGAGAGAAGAAGAGAAAAGAAACCCCACAGTCATAAAGAACTCAGTGAAATTCATGTTCACCTTCAAACAAAATTTTACCTGTAATCTTCCTGCTCAGAAACTGAAGATTCTTCAGTCATCTCTGGCAGACTCATATAGAATTGATCCTAGGATAGGAAGGGAATTGAAGACATGGGATGATCAGAAAACCTTGAGGGAAAAAGTCAATGGGGTAGCTGTGAGGAATGTGGGGTGGAGATAAACATACCTGGGGTAGAGGTGAAGCTCCACCCTGACCCCACAAAATAGGTCAAAATACCTGGGAGAGCTTAGGATTTTTTTTCTTTCTCACTTTTCCATATTATTCATTCCTTCCACAATTCTCTATTATTCACCATTTATAGGTCTCTACATTGGTTGGCGCTGTCCCCATTACCTATGGGACTGCTTCCGGATTGGGGATGAATCCAAGTGCTTTTGTGGACATTTACTGAGAGAGCACCACATTATCTCAGGTAGGGGAGAAGTGACCAGCCTTTTGTCAGGTATGGAGGGACAACTCTGTCATCATGTATGGGATATATGTAACTGTGTGTGTGTGTGTGTGTGTGTGTGTGTGTTCATATGGGGGAAGATTTGGCATGAGCAGGCCAGGCCTTGTCACGTGCTCATCCAATCCTACCACCCATCCTTGTCCCATAGACATAACTGTGCCCTGCAATGTGAGTCAGTGCCGCTGCCTCATGTTCTGCTTCATCCCATCACGCCCAGAAGAGGTGGGTGAATTCTGGCTCAAGAGACGAGCCACTTTTGATCCCAAGGCCTGGAGGGCTCAATGTCGCTGCAAACATAGCCATGAAGAGCATGCAGCCACTGGAACTCATCCCTGCAGGCATCGTGGTAACTTCTAATGCAGGGGAGTATTGGGTGGGAAGAAGTGGGTATAGGATGCAAATAGTTTGGGGAGGAGAGTGGGGAGCTGATAAAAAAGATACTTGTTTGGTGTTTGGTGGGTAAGGAAGAGATGAGAATGTAGTCAGCCCATGGAGATGCCTCTCCATTCTCTATATTCTCCTGGGCTGTCCTTTTGTCTCAGGTTGTGGCTGCAACAATTTTGAGTCTAATTTCCTCTGTGCCGCTTGTGACCGGCGCTGGGAGGAACATGAGACTTTCTTTGAGACCCAGGAGACACGCCGACGAGGAGGGAGACCTCATGGTAAGGGTGCAATCTGGGACAGGGGGCCAGCCCAGCATCTGTAGTCAGGAGGCTGGGCAGAAAGGCACCTTAACTGTCCCCTCCAGGACTATTGTATTTTCTCACTCCTCAAATCCAATGCCTGTCCTGGTTTCTACCCCCAGGAGCAGAATATGTGACATTTGCAGACATGCCTGTCCTCCAAGAAACCATCCTGAACAGCTCTGACTTCGAGGCCCTCCAGATGCAAAGGCTCCCTTGTCATCCCAGTCCCCACCCTAGTTCCCCTGCATTCCCTAGCCCACACAGACTCCAGCATGGTCCCCCATCTGACCGCCATACCTGACCCTTTAAACATTTACTCTCCTATCCTCCAGGGACATATACTTCAACAAACTGCATAGGCCCTTCTGAGCCTGGCCCAGATCAGCAATAAAATGGAAGCCACTGGAATCTGACGTAGTCCTATATGGGGCAGTAGAGCCAAGAGCTAACCAAAAGTCATTAGAGTTGGCACTGTTTGGGGGGAAGAGACAGCACCAAGCAGGATAAAGGCTGGATCCAGCTATCTGCCCCACATCATGCCCACATTCAAGCTTCTGGCTGTGACATCACAAGCAGAGTGATTTCAAGAAAGCCAAGAAGGGAGGAAATTTCAAGAAGGATAAAGTGGGCAATGATTTAAGATGTAGTTAGGGCTTCTGGAAGATAAAGACTAAATAGTGCCCATTGGGTTTTACAATTAGAAAGTGTTTGGGGACTTCAGAGAGTACAGTTTCATACTGGTATAGTAGAGGGAGAAACAAAACAGCTATAGTTTGAAAGGGACTCTTCCAGAAGCTTGGATGAAAAATGCAGGGAAAACATCAGACAATATCCAGAAGGAGATATGGAGTCAAGGAAGCAGTTTTTTAGGAAGGAAAAGAGGAAGAGACCAGTAGATAAAATGTCCTTGAAAGACACAGAAGAAAGAGGAAAGATTCCTAGTGAGACATAGATCCCAGAGAAAAAGAAATGGGATGAGATCAAGGCAGAGGTGAAGGGATATGCTCTGAACAAAAGGAACATCACTTCCTGAGACCAAGAGGAGGAAAGAATATTTGGAGCCTTCGCTGAGCTTCAGGAAACATTAGAGAATTTCCCTTCTGATAGCTTCTCCATGAAGTAGGATAAGAGTGAGGGGGTATTAGGAGACAAGAAGGGAAAGGTGAGAGTTTGGGCAGGCTAATGTTGGGGAATTGGAGAAAATCCTGATCAAAAACTGAGTAGTTTAGGATTCAGGTACAGTTGGAAGTGAAAAACCTAAGAAAAATGTTTAGATTACTGGATAGATGGAGATGGGAGGGTGTCAGGAAGGATTATCAGGAAAATGAGGCAAAAGGAATTGGCATAAAGATATGGAGGGTGTGGATGATACAAATAGGGAAAGAAAGTGATTCCAGGAATCAATTGATGAGTTGAAAGGGAATAAAAGTCTCTAATGAGGTCCAGTAGCAGTTGTAGTGGCATAGACTGAATTAAGGAGACAACAATCACAGCCTGCAAAGCATTACAGCTTTCACATGAGAACAGCTTTGATGATAACAAGGACTTGGAATAGAGAAAACTGTGGAAAAAAAAAAAGTGAGTTTGGGGGAGTAACAAGGAAGTCCATAAGTAATTCTTCCAGGAGTTGGAAAGCCTGACACTGATAGAGCTCTGTGCCTCTAGAGAAGAACTTCCCCACTTTGGGCCTTGGTTTCTGGATCTGTAAAACAGGATTAACCAGTGTTGTTCTCTGTGAAAACCCAAGGAAATAACCAGTTTTAACAAGCTTTGTATTCACTATCCCTCCAGGCTGGTTTCCTTCCTCTTCTAGATCTCAGTTCCACTTACCTCTTGCCTTCTCCAGGGAGTTTTAAGGTCTTCAGGTGTCCCAGAGGCATAGAGAAAGGAAGCCTCTGGGATACAGAAAAGAGGTCATCCTACATTTCCTCACATTTAGGGAGGTCGTCTGTCCTACCAAGGGAAGGAATACAGCCTAGACTACTAAAACCCCTAGGGAACATCACAGGATCAAATGTCTGCCCTGGGGCTGGGGATGTGGCTCAAGCATAGCCTGCTCACCTGGCACGCCTGGCATGTGAGGGCGCTGGGTTCGATCCTCAGCACCACATAAAAATAAAATAAAGATGTTGTGTTCACCGAAAACTAAAAAATAAATTTAAAAAAATGTCTGCCCTTTGGAGAACAATGGACTTTCTAACAATAATATAGTTATATAAAAGAGATCGGGTAGGGTTAGGGATGTAGTTCAGTGATTGAGCCTTGTGTAGTAGGCATAAGGCCCCAGCACCACAACTTAAAAAAAAAAAAAAGGAGACTGTACTAACTCTAGAAGAATTTTCCAATACTGATAACCATTCATCTAAAACTAATTCATTTAAAAGTCAGCTACAGAGTGCTATGGTAAACTCATTAAGGAAATAGTATGCAGCCCTGATATATTGACATAGCCTATGTAATAATTTTAAAAATTGATGGGAGAATAATATGCCATATATTATAAAAGAAAATGTAACACCAAATTTGATTTATTCAACAGTTATTAAGCTCCTGTATGTGGCAGGTCATGCGCTTTTTTAAAAAACAGTGGAGATTTATCCTATGTTATACTTCAGACTAAATTCACCTGTGTCTTGAGTATTTTCGTGACACGATGTTTCTTATATCAAAAGTATGAACCCTAGCAGAGTGAACCTGCCTCCCTGAAAACTCCTGAGCTAACTATCATACTCCTGATTAGAAAAGAACATTAGATGCATATTCCTTTGCTTTTTGGTGCAGTAAAGGTAGGTCGTTCCCATCTTCGCCAGATTTTTAAAAAATTATATACACACACACACACTCTACTGTCATATATATATCTAAAAACAAATTTTTAAAAAAACTGACCTGGAAATAATTTATGGTGTGAATGTGTTAATGAGAACACAAGAATGAATTGCCTTTTAAAATCTTCCAAATGGTTCCTGTGCGGTGACCCAAGCCTGTGATCTTGGAAGGCTGAAGCAGGAGGATCCCAAGTTTGAAGACAGCCTAGGGAATTTAGCAAGACCCAGTCTCAAAATTTGAAAATAATTATCCCCAAAAGGTGAGGGGGGCTGGGGACGTACTTCAGTGGTAGAACGCACGCGTAGTGTGCCTGAGGCTCTGGGTGCAATCCCAGTACCACAAAAAAAAAAAAAAAAAAAAAAAATCTCTGAAATGGTTAAGTGACTGAAACCACCCTTGTGGAGAAAATGCTGGGTATCAACACCACCAATTAGAAAGACCCTGGGCTGGGGATGTGGCTCAAGCGGTAGCTCGCTTGCCTGGCATGCTTACGGCCCTGGTTCGATCCTCAGCACCACATACAAAGATGTTGTGTCCGCTGAAAACTAAATATATATATATATATATTTATATATATTAAAATTCCCTCTCTCTCTCTCTTAAAAAAAAAAAAATAGAAAGACCCCCTTCCGGTTCACCTTTAGCCCCACCCAGGTGATTCTTGGAACCACGTGAACCTAATGCTCTCAGAACCTTGCCCTCCGCCTAGCCAAAGCAGTGAAAGGATCCAAAGTACGTTTAGACCTTGGTGCAGCAACTGTCGGAGCCCGCCCACTTCCTCCAGCCCACCAGTAGGGGCCAGAACTGAGAAGGACCAGCCCGGAACGTGAGAGCCCGCGAGCCCTAACCTAAACCCAGCCAGAGCCAACTAGGTGAAAAATTACACCTCCAAGTTTCTTAATCCTTGGAAAATTTATCTCGTAGCGAAATCAGTCAGAGACAACACTCAAGAAGGAACTTTAACCAATGGAGTGGGAATTAGCCCTGCATTGGAAGATGCAGCCAATTGGACGAAAAGATTCCGCCTCTAAAGTGGCGGCGGAGCCAATGGCTTGAGTAGGCCCGGAACCGCGATCCAATGGCCGGGCCCGCCCCCGGCCGCGGAAGGGGCCAATGACCCCAGCTCTCCCGCTCCGACTGCCCACCTTCGGTAGGCCGCAGAGTTAAGTGCGGGACGAGTGAGCTGTTCACGCAGCTCCGGGAGGATGGCTGCTGCGGTGGTGCTAGCTGCCAGCTTGCGCGCGGCGAGCAGAGCCTTGGCGGCCTCTGGGCCCCGGGGGGTGCAGGTGAGAAGTGTCCGCGGGAACCAGGAGGGGCTTCCTCAGTTTCTGACGCCCTCTGTGGCGGGAGCCGAGGCGCAAGCAACCCAGCAGCCTTGCAGAGCCACTGCCCCTTCCGAGGATCAAGCTCTAGGATTGTGCGGTGAGGTCGGACTTGATGGCTGCGGGTGTAGCGAACTAGCGATCACCGCCTCCCCGCACAGGCCTTGGCGCCGAGGTCAGGACGGGGTCAGTGCAGCAGCTGCTGCCCTCCGTTGTCTGAAGCCCAGCTGGCCGGTCACCTCAGTTCCCTCTGTAGAAAGTAAGGTCCTCTGCCTTCTCCCTTGGGCCTTCTAATAAGCAAAGGTGTTAACCTTTGATCTTCCCCACTTTTCAGTAGCAACTCGGGAGTCAAGAGCCTAATTCGTCCAGTTCTTTTCTCCCCCATTATGACGCACTGACTTTATTTTTCTCTGAGTCCATGGGAAACATGGGTATATCTCTTCCTCCTGGATAACTGGGGGAGGACTGAGTTCATTGAGCTGATTTATTTATTTATTATTTTAATTTAATTTAATTAATTTATTTATTTTTGGTACTGGGGAATGAACCATCCAGGGACACTCAACCACTGAGCCACATCCCAGCCCTTTTTTGTATTTTATTTAGAGACAGGATCTCACTAAGTTGCTAAATTGCTAAGACTGGCTTAGAACTCGCAATCCTCCTGCCTCAGCCTCCCAAGCCGCTGGGATTACAGGTGTGCACCACTGCCTGGCTAAATTAACATGTAATTCCACTGATGTAAGTAACTAGAGTTAAAATCCACATAAGAGATCAGACATGACACCCAAATGAGGAAGAGCTAGAGTCAAACAGGACAAATGCATGAAAACTTAAATAAACAGGTAACCAAGCTTAAATATCAGAAAACAAGTAATGGAAATAAGTGAACACATACTAACAAGGTGGGAGTATACAGACCTTCAAGCTGTGTTGAGATAATACACAGAAATTTTTGTGAGGTAATTCAGTGGTAGAATAGGAACTGAGACATAAATCTTGAGACTCCCATTTTGGATTCTTTTCCCTGCACGTGTTAGATTTTATACACACATTAGCAGGAATCAATTGTACTCCTGAATCTTGCATAATATTGCCAGTTATGTCCCAGTGTCTCATAGTCATATATATACACACATACACACACATATACATATATATATACACATATATACATATATATATACATACATTCATACACACACACACACACACACACACACATCACATATGGAACACCAGCATGTAATGGGTTGATAACTATCAGAGCACAACTCTGCCAGCTCCAACTGAGTACATGGAAGAGTTATTGCCAGTTCCCTCCCTTGGGTGTATCTGACTCTCCTGCAGGTCCGAGGAGCTGCAGGTGTGATAAATGGGAATGAAGTGGCTAAGGCCCAGCAGGCAGCTCCTGGAGGAGCAGCTCCAACCATCTTTTCCCGGATCCTGGACAGAAGCCTTCCAGCTGACATTCTATATGAGGACCAACAGGTGGGACCCAAACCCCTTAGGAATTTCATAGATACAGCTAGCCTGATAAACTAATGTGATTATCTCTGGCCTGTCATTGCTCCCAGTGTCTGGTGTTCCGTGATGTGGCCCCTCAGGCTCCTGTGCATTTTCTGGTCATTCCTAAGAAGCCCATTCCTCGTATTAGCCAGGCTGAAGAAGAAGACCAGCAGGTGGGAAGAACAAGGCCAGGAGTTGTTGTGGGAAGAGCCCTGGTAAAGCTAGAGGTTTTGCCCTCTGTGAATAAAGACAACTATGTCCCTCCCTTCTCCCTATAGCTTCTAGGACACCTTCTCCTTGTAGCCAAGAAAACAGCAAAGGCTGAGGGCCTGGGAGATGGATACCGACTTGGTGAGTGACTTGGCCCATGGGTCCCTCATCTATGAATTCCTGCTCCTCAATATGATCTTCATTCTTTGATCTCTCCCATAATCCTGACCCCCTAACTTCAAGCTCTATTTCAGTGATCAATGATGGAAAGCTGGGAGCACAATCTGTATATCATCTTCACATTCACGTACTTGGGGGCCGGCAGCTCCAGTGGCCTCCAGGTTGAACCTACCAACTGACCCAAGAAACTCGGATCTGGATGTTTGGATGGGAAAAGGAACCCTGCGATGCTAATAAACCTATTCTCCCTCACTTTTGCATGCCTGTCTTTAATAAAAAGGATTTACACCACAAAGGGGAAAGAAGAGTGATTCTGCTATGTGCTCCTTTGACAATGATCAAAGTAAGAGACACTGAGGAGGCCCACTGTGTGGCCAAAAGAAGCACCTGCCTATAGATATGCCTCATGACTAGTAATCTGCCCTGGGTCAAACTTCAGAAAAGTAGCAGTAGGAATGAGCCTGAATGAGTAGAAAGATGTAAGACTAGCTGCATCCTGGACTTCATTCAGAGGCCAAACCAGGTTCAAAAGGGAATTGTGAGGAAGGTAGTCAATATAAGGGCCTAATATTCGAAAAGTAGTAACATACACACACACGAACACACCAGCTGTTAGCTATATGCTGCTCCATATGTTCTCTGTTTTGCTCTTTAGCTGTTTTATATATTTTCATCCTTAAAAACAATTTTAAAGCCTCCTCACTCCTCACTTTTGAGAATGAACCAAGCAAATTAAGAGGAAGCTACTATTGGTCCTCCACAACCCCATCAACTAGGCGTTTGTCCCATGCCACGGTCCTATACCAGTCTCCAAGGTATCCCCATAAAGAATCACCTTAGCCGCAAAGAATCAGGCTTGAACAGGGAAGTTGAGGTCTCAGGCCAATGGAACCTTAAAACCGCGTCTGAGGCAGCATGGAGTCGGGACCAGAAAACGGAGAGCGCACCCAGCTTAAGACTTCCGCCCCGCAGAGGACTTGCCTCCACCTCTTCCCTCCACTTCCGCCCAGCTTTAGTTCTGCGCAGTCTCTTGGAATTTTTTGTTGTCTCTATGGCAACCGTGTAGCTGGAGCCTGAAGATGGAGCCCAACGAATCTACAGAGGGATCGCCGTCGCGGTGAGAGCCACAGCTCTGGCTGCAAGCGAAAAGGGATAAGAAAGGTCAGCGGACTTCCTCTGCTGGGCTTTTGATACCTTGACGCTTTTGTTTTCTTTTAGATCTTTAGACGTACAACCCTGCGCCGAAGAACTAGGGACTGTTTCGGAACCGTTTCTTTCTTCACATGGCCATGCATCAGCCCTGGCATCCGCAACCACTGCAGCTGATGCAGCTGCATCAGCTGCCGCAGCCGCCGCCTCCGCCAGAGCAGCTGCATTATTTACAGAGACCCCAGCGCCCTATTCTAGGTTCACAGAGCCCTCCTCTGACAATTTTCTTGGGGCAGTCTATGCTGGAACCCCACAAATAGGCCGTGAAAGTCTTGGCTTTGACCCTGACTATGTTTCCTCTACTGCTAGGCATCCCTATACTACAACTGACCTTAGCTCTAGCGCTGCTCCTGTTCCTGGCTTCAGCTCTGACCCTTTAACTGGTTCCAGCTCCAGCCCTGTCCCCGGTCCTGGCTTCCGTGGCTATAGTTCTTTCCCTGGCTCCAGTTCTGTTCCTGACCATGGTTTAGTCCCTAGTTCTGGCACTGGTCCTGGAAGTGGCTCTAGCCCCGGCTTCCTCACTGGTCCTGGCCCTGGAACTATCCCTCCCTCTGGCCCTGGCACTATCCTTCCCTCTGGCCCTGGCACTATCCCTCCCTCTGGCCCTGGCACTATCCCTCCCTCTGGCCCTGGCACTATCCCTCCCTCTGGCCCTGGCACTATTCCTCCCTCTGGCCCTGCCACTATCCCTCCCTCTGGCCTTGCCACTATCCCTTGCTCTGGCCTTGCCACTATCCCTCGTTCTGACACTGGTCATGGCCATACCTCTGGCCAAGGCTTCGGTCCTGCCTCAGGTACTGATCCTGCCTCTGGAGCTGGTCCAGGTTCTAGCTCTGGCCCTGAGCCTAGGCCCAGCACTCCTCAAAGGTTCAAAAACCTTAGGTCAGATCTTTTTCCTAATTATACCTCCTGGAATCAATACTGCCACTGGGATCCTCAGAAACAACCACCTTGGGAATCTTTGCAAGTCTCAGAACCTGGTGCCCGAGGGCTGTGGAAAACCCGAGAAGATGAAGGGAAGCCTAAGTTTCTCTATGAAACAATGCCACGGGGCCAGTGCCTCCTCTACAACTGGGAGGAAGAGGTATTAAGTTTTGACCTTTTCTTTTTTGAAGGCTTACCCAAGTTTCTAGGGGAGCCAGTAGTTTGTGATGAGGGTAGATAACAAGGGATATCACAGTCATTCAACTTACGGCCCACAGAGAGCTACAAACCACCTGGATCAAGTTCCAAACTGGCAGGATATCTCTGAGAGTTTCTTCTTCCGACATGGACACCAGGGACTGCTGACCACCCAACCACCTTCACCCATGCCCTCGAGTACCACCCAGAAGGATTCATACCAGCCCCCAAGAAACCTTTCTCAGCCTCTTCAAGGTGTGAAGCATGACAGCCAGAATGAGCCCATCAGGCAGAGAAAAAAAGAGGAAGGAATTTCTGGTGGGACTGTGGATTGTGTGATGGATATAAGGGCAAAATCTAAGATTCCTGTTCCTTTTCCCAAATTTGTTTCTTTTTCTTTTTTAATTTTGGGGCCTGCTTTGTAATCACACTCCCACTTCACCCTCCCACAGGGAAGCGTGAAGCCATGGTGGAGATGCTCCTGCACCACCAGATCTGGTGAGAAACTAGGGGAGTGGGGGGAGGGGGAAGAGCAAAACTGGGGAGAATGGCCTTGACATCTCCCAGGGCTACATAGTAAAGAGGTACAGGCAGATCTGGAACCCATAAAGAAGCCCTTTAAGGCGGAGTCAGTGACACACCATGACTACAGAATGGAGCTGATGCAAGGAGGGCCTCCTGCCCCAACGAAGGTGAGAACCCATCCTACCCCACTTGCACAGCAGGGCTCTGATAGGTGGTGGGAAAGTTCCTAGTCCAGAAGTTGAGAGAAAGGGCCAAAGTCCAATTATTGAGTATTTCTCCCTCACAGCCTCATGATTATCGTCAGGAACAGCCTGAAAGCTTCTGGATTCAGAGGGCACCGCAGTTACCGGTGTGTGAGTGTGACTAGGTGTGGGGGGATGGAGAAAAGAAGGCAGGGAAGAGTATGTCTATTCTGGGGAGACGGACCTGTCCTCATGTTGGCATTGCTCCAGGGTGTCAGTAACATCAGGACACTGGACACACCATTCCGGAAGAACTGCAGCTTCTCAACACCAGTGCCCTTGTCTCTGGGACAGCCTTTGCCCTATGAACTTGAGAATTATCCCCACCAATTAGGGGAAATGTCTTCCCTGGCCTGTCAGAGAGAAGGGCAGGGGCATCCAGGGGGCAGAATGGGTCCTGTGTAAAAGTTGAAGGGGGAAGTTGGATATGGAATTTGGAATCTGTTTCTGCTTATATCAGAGAGGTGAGCAGAAGGAAGTTAATTCCCTCTGTACTTGATGAAGGAGCTTTACATAAAGGTTCTTCATCCTGAGACTGCTAATTGACTGATTCTGTGAGTCACTGTATGCATATCCCATAACCTTTCCTTGAAGTTACCTACCCCAGACTATGACACCATGACTACTGCTACTTGTTATTTTATATTTGGCCAAAATATTCTGGTTTAGATATATATATTTACAGGAGGTAGGGAAGAAGGGGACCAAACCAGAGAAGGACAGATATATGTACAAAACTGAGCTGCAAAGGGCTATGACTTCCATATAAGGTGGGGGTTTTGTGCACATTTTCCATCTCATGTGACAACGTCTGTTTCTGGTATATGGAGAGATGGTGGCTACTGCTCATCCAGGTGCCAGAAGCAGGAGATTGTCTGGCTTGGGAAGATGTAGGGTTTACAGCAGTCCAGGAGGTCCTTTTCGCTCTCCTATGAGCCAATAAGTTCGCATCTTTCCTTTTCCCTGGAAACAGAGGGAGTAAACATGGTTCAGACTCTTCTGTTAGCCCTTGATCTCCCTCTCTTCACCCCCAGCCACATAATCACTTTCATTCTCCCTTTCCATGACCCCCTCCCCATGGCCTGCCATCACCTTCATCTCCACATCACCCCGAAGCTCTAGCTGGAAACATCCTAGCTCATCCAGGGCATCCTTGGTGGTAGAGGAGACATGGATCTTCAGGGCTGGGGTAGCATAGGTATGATAGGGGGAAAAAAAAGTCATATAAAAAGGAAATAGAAGAATTGACAGTGCTGAAGAGCACCTTACCCAACCAACCACCCCCCAGGAGGCTCCCAGTCCTCCCAGCACACACATTCACTAGAACCAAAATGTGCACAATGATGGGCCACTTAGGAATTGTGGTCTCTTGTATTGAAGATTTGGAGGAGCTCTGAAAAGAAGAGAGCAAGACAGAGTGAGGCTGAGGCTGGGGTTGAAGGCTAATGTCTCACCTTGACCATTAGACTCCATTCGGGAAGCAGTATTCACTGTATCTCCAAAAAGACAATAGCGGGGCATCTTCAGGCCAACAACCCCAGCACAGACTGGCCCTATGAAAAGAAACAGGTTGGGGAGAGCCTGGGAAACATGGCATCTAGGGTTGGAGTGAGAGTCATTCTTACCAGTATGAACCCCTATGCGTAGCCTCAGCTGGTCATGGGGTCGGTGGCGGATACGGAAGGAAGAAACTGCATCTAGTAACGCTAGGGCCATCCGGGCAATTTCTGGTGCATGGCGTTGACCATTTCGGCCTGGGAGGCCAGATACCACCATGTAAGCATCCCCAATCGTCTCCACCTGATTTAGAGGGAGATTAAAACATCACTCCTCTCTGTATCAGTGGGAATGAGAAAAAGTACCTGTAGACAAGCTAGACAGTATCAGGCATCATCCTGACCACCTGGGAGGCCCAAACTTCAACTAAAAAATAAAAGCTGTAGTCCTGAGAATCTGGGAAGAAGGGCAGTCAAGAAACCCTGGCAAATACTCCATAAGCATTTGCTGAATGATTGGACACCCTATCCACAACAGGACATGGACAGAAAGGCCCTGGTGTCAGAAATGGGAAGCAAGAAAACGAGCTAACCTGAAGAGCACAAAGGCTGGCAAGAAGGTAAAGCAGACCAATGACATGGGCCAGACTACCCAAACTGTCAGACAGTGAGAAAGCAGGCACTTGATTTTTTTTTTTTTTTAAAGAGAGAGTGAGAGAGGGGAGAGAGAGAGAGAGAATTTTTAATATTTATTTTTTAGTTCTCGGCGGACACAACATCTTTGTTGGTATGTGGTGCTGAGGATCGAACCTGGGCCGCACGCCTGCCAGGCGAGCGCGCTACTGCTTGAGCCACATCCCCAGCCCCCAGGCACTTGATTTTAGTAATTGTACCAAAGTTATACAAGAGAATGGTCTTAATTTTTAGGAAATGTGCCATGAAATTTTTAGGATATACACACTAAGAATTTAGGGATAAACTGGTCCTCTATCTGAAACTTACTCTTGGTTTAGAAAATAATTATATAAATAGATTTTTAATAAAATAAATAGAGGAAAATAGAAACAATTGATAGAATAATTGATGTTTCTGATGGGAGTTCTTTGTTACAGAAACAATAGATCAGAAAACCCAAAGGGAAGGGGCAGGAATGGATATTTATTATCTACCATGCAATACACAGTGCTAGGCACTTCCCATACAATCTCTTATTCCTTTTTTTTTTCCTTTGATACTGGAGACTGAACCCAGGATCCAAGGTCCTCTATCACTAAGCTATATCCCAGTCCTTTTATTTTATTCTTTTTATTTTGAGAGAGGGTCTCACTAAGTTGCCCAGGCTGGCCTTGAACTTGTGATCCTTCTGCCTCAACCTCCCAGTCAGAATTACAAGTGTGCACTGCTGCACTCAGTTTATTATTCCCATCGTAAAACCACCAAGGATCAGGGAGGTGCTGTTACTTACCTAAGATCACACAGCTAGCTACAAAACCAATATTTAAATACAGCTTATTTGTACTCCCAAGGACAATAAAGCTAACTCTCTGCCAAGTCAGTGACTTCAACTAAAAGCCTTACAACATTATTTATACCTTGCCCCTCACCCCACTGAATCAATTTGTACCCATATCCTGTAGGGATTGTTCCATGTCTGGAGGAGAAAAGAGAAGATGGGTAGGCAGTATTTATACACTCAGAGAGATAGGGACTAAAGTCTGTGATGGTTCTGATCAAAGAAGCTTAAGGGTTCACAAGTTATTAGACCTGAATATACAATTAGAATCCTAGAGCCACATCCACGTACGAAGTGCACTCCAGCATTGCACTCTAGAGACCTTAGAGTGACAAACTGACCATGGAGTGGGTAATCTATGTGGGGAGGTTCCAGGAGCCTGGATCTTAAAGGGGTCTCAGTAGGAAGGCAACCCCAACTCTCACCTTGTAGACATCAAAGTTGTCAATTATGGCATCAAAACAGGTATACAGGTCATTAAGAAGTGTCACCACCTAAATTAAAATAATTTAAAAAGTGTCACCACCTAAGAAGATAGAAAAGCAGAGGCCCTGAACCTCGTGCCCAACTTTCTAAGCATTCTCAAGCTACAAACTCTTAACAAAATATGGGAACTCCAGAATGAACTAGTCTTCCCTATTAGTGAAGCTCCCAGGTCCCTATCCTATACACTACCTCTCACACATGGCTCTTACCTGCATAGGGGTGCTCTCAGCTGACAATGCTGTGAAGCCAACGATGTCACTGAAGTAGATGGTAACACTGTCAAAGGCCTCAGCCTGCACAGTCTCTCCCCGTTTTAACTGCTCTGCCACTGAACTAGAGAACAAGGGTGTAGTGTGAGCCAAATTCCAAGAAAGATGTGGGAGAGGGAAAGAGGAAAGCAATATGTGGCTGCAGCAGACAGAGCTAAGTTGTAATGGGAAAGCTGGGATTGGTGAAGGAAAAGGAAAGTGGTTGAGAAGACATTGTCTAGCACATAGTAAGGTGCATAAGTGGTGGGGACACAGTGTTTCAATTTGGGATTATTTTACATAGGCTTGCTGAAGCAGAGGCAAGGTAGAACAGTGTCCTAAGGAGGAAGGATGAGAAACCAGAAAGAGCCCAGCTCATTTGGAGACAGAATGAAAGCAATTAGTCTATAGCCAGGAGGGCTCACTGTGGCAAGATATAACAAAACAGGTTTGGAGGCTTGGGAAGTGGGCTTTCAGGAGACTGAGGCAGAATTCAACAGCTGAATCTGAAAGGAAAGTTCAGGAAGGGGGACAAAGTTCTCACTGGGGCAGAATTTGGTAGAGCAGAGCTTCAGCCTTGCGTTTTTCCTCTAGATAAGCCTGTGTGCGTTCCTCCACCAGTTTCTCCAGGTTATTGGCATACTGTTCCATGCGTAGCAAGAGGTTGTCCAATATACTGGTGCCACCTTCCCTGCAGGGAGGCCAGGATATGTCACCTGCTCCAAGATTCTCAAGACTCCCCAGACTTTCTATCCAACCCACCAGCCCCACTTCATCCATGAAGAACTGATGAGGCTTCTATCCCTATGGAGCCCTTGCCCTTTAGTGTCTTCTCACTTGTTAAAGCGGCGAATGAAACCCTTGATCTGTCCAAAGTCCGGTCGCTCAGCTGAATCCTGGGCCCAACATCTCTCCATCAGCAAAACTAACTCTTCATTCAGTTGGGTTCTGTCAATGCTTGGCCGGAAATATGGTCGCTGACTATTTCGTACCTTCTGGACAATCTCTGAGGGTGATAAAAGGTTGGATGAAGAACAGAGTCCCCCAAGGAAGAAAAGGCTATGGATAGCAGATCAACTCTCACCTTTGGGGCTGAGGTCTAGGCCCTCCAAGTAGAATGGACCACTGCGAAGTGCTATCTCCTGAAGGATGATCCCGAAGCTGTAGACATCAGCCTTTTGCATGCCTGTGGTTGGCAAGGAGTTCCCACTGAGCAGTTCTGGGGCAGTCCACAGCTTCTCTGAAAAGAGGAAACAAGCTAGCCAGGTCCCCAAAATAGGGTACCCCCACCCACTCATTTATTACTGTAACTTGTCTCCCTCTCCCACCCTCCCTAAGTGGAACTGATCAAGGCCAGGGGAGCAGTATAAAAAGTGCATTATGGGGCAGGCCTCACTGGCATAGAGGGCGTGGCTATCATCAGGTTCAGCAGTTGATCGGAAGCTGGCCAAGCCATAGTCTGTGATTTTGAGCACAAAACGACTATCCACCACACAGTTGGAGGACTTGAGACTTCCATGAGATGAAATAATGCTGTTGTGGAGAAAAGCCATGCCCTGCAGGATAGGATACAGATCAAGTATCTGGATCATAACTGCTTTTAACTATACCCTTTCCAACAGATGGGCACTAGGTTAGCTACCTAAAGATCTTGGGACCATAAAAACAATAACCTGATTTTGGAAGGCATCCCTTAAATAGTTTCTATACAAGGAAGCAGGAAGAATAGGAGAGTCATTCCTTCCTGGTAATATGAATATATATAGGTACCCAGCTATATAAAAAATGCTTAAGAGCGG